TGAGTTGGTAGAGTGGGCCGTCGGCAGTTTTGAGCCCTTCAAAACACCCGGACCCGACGGTATATTTCCTGCTCTTCTTCAATGGAGTCTAGAGGATATGAAAATACACTTGATGAGAGTTTTTAAGGCCTGCTTAGCCTTTAACTACGTTCCCATCAGCTGGAGGAAGGTTACAGTAACCTTTATACCAAAGAATGGAAAAAAGGACCCAACGGATCCTAAAGCCTTTCGACCAATTAGTCTCTCATCATTTCTTTTAAAGACGCTTGAAAGACTATGTGAACATTACATTAGAGAGAATGTACTTAAAGCGTTTCCTTTGCATTTCAACCAACATGCATATATCAAAGGTAAATCTGTGGATAGCGCATCAAATGCTTTATGCAAATTTCGAATCAAATGCAACATGTCTGGGAACTTTCCTTGACATAGAGGGAGCGTTTGACAAAACCACCTTTAGTAGCATTAACCTGGCACTGGAATCTCGAAGAGTGCCATCGGTCATCGCGGGCTGGATTAAAACAATGCTAGCAAGCAGAGTTGTTCAGACTAAGGCGAAAAGACACATAGTACAGAGAGCTGTTGTTAAGGGTTGCCCACAAGGTGGGGTACTCTCACCGCTTCTCTGGTGCTTAATAGTTGATGATCTCATTCGTGAGTTAAATAATAAATATCTCTTCACAGTTGGTTACGCAGACGACGTGGCTATCTTGTTAAGAGGTAAACCTGACAATTTTCTTTGTTACAGAATGCAGCAGGCGCTTAAACTCGTTGAACGATGGTGTGAAGAACATACCCTCTCTGTCAATCCTAAAAAGACAGAGACTGTTCTCTTCACTAAACAGAAGAAACTGGGACACTTAACGCCACCCAATTTCTGCAATAGTCCATTAACCTTTGCTCCANGTAATCTGTACTGATAGCAGACAGGCTATGCTGGCGATTGGCAGGCATCATACTGCATCATCGTTGGTGAAGTCCTGTCGGCAATCACTCGAAGAGGCAAACGTATACAACAACGTCACGATAAAATGGCGAAAAGGACACATCGGAATTAAAGGACATGATCATGCGGACAGGTTGGCGAAACGGGCGGCTAACAAGTCACCGATCTCCCCTGAACCGTTTGTACCACTAGCTGTTAATACAGCATCAAAACTGATAAACTCCATCTCCCACCGAGCTTTTTGCGATAGATGGGATGGGACAGCAGTAGGTGCCTTTGCTAAGAAAACTCTGCTCTACCCTGACCGGAAGACATCTACTCAGTTTCTGGGAAAATCGAAAAGTGACTTGAGGCTTCTCACCCACTTCCTGACCGGACACTGCAGGTTACGTAAGCACATGTTTTACATGAAGCTGGCGAATACACCCCTCTGTAGAGGGTGTGAAATGGAAGACGAGACGGTAAGTCATATTGTTTGTGACTGTCCAAACCTCGTGTACTTAAGGGAATCTATTTTCGGAGTACCATGGCTCCAAATTTCGGATATAAGGAACATACCTTTCTGTTCTATATTAACGTTCATGAAAAGATTGGGCTGGTTTTCTGACCCTTGAATGAACAGTAAACTGTGGGGACGTACAAAGGGTCCGCTGGGGCCTAAGTGCTGTGAGTAACTCACGCCCACGTGAAAGTACATACATACAACACGCTAACGAATAGCTAACGAATCGCATAAAAGCAACTGAATGCTCTGAGAAGATCTGCCAGAGTATCGCATACGGAAACACTAAGAAATGAATAAATCAATAATGAAAGATATTGAGAGAAACCAACTTATATAGTGTAGCATGTACAATGAATTGCGGAGGACAAAATACCGAAAAAGGCAATGGAGTAGATACTGCAGCAAAGAAACGCCCTCAGAAAAAAGAAGACCTAAGAAGAGCTAAGAAGAATGGTAAGTGACTGAAATCTCCCTCTGTTCCAAAATAAGTGTCTGATTTCGCGAAACTTACCAACGTCGTGAAATATAAGTTACAATTTTATGTTCCATCAAATGACTTACATACATCAAAATTGATATTTGTATGTTGTCAAAAGAAAATTACGCATCAACTTGACGTTTGAGTAGATACCTAAAAATCTTGTGTCGTCTTACTATTTGTAAAAATACCGGTTTGGCCACATAAGGGAACGTGAAGAAGTTGCAGATGTTGCAGCACAAAGAAATAGGTCTAATCTAAAGCAAGAAATGCCCCAAAGTGTACCATTGTTTGCTAGAGGCATGTATAAATGGTGAACTGAAACATGATTCAATAAAAATTGCAGCCGCTCTGTGTCGGAGAAGACTTACATATAAAGAAAGTACCCATTCGTACTAGCACATGCTATTGGAATGTTGAAAAGCACAATTCACCGAAGTGTTAAAACTGGATTAATAGTAAAACTATTCGTTACAAATGCTGCTTGTGCATATTTTTAAGGATATGACAAACTTCATTGATGGTGATAAGAAACGGTTTTATTTAAAGAAAATATCGACAAGTGCCACCTCGCTCACGGTGAAATAGAATCTTATCAAACGTGCGAAAAGAAGAGATTTATCATACAGTTTATGTTTTTGGCTGCTCACAGCTCACGATAGGACAGTTGCTGTAATCAGTGATTTGATGGGAAATTAGGCATTTGGCCAATTATAAAACAAGAACCAGCCAAACGTAGAAGTAAAAATCGTCCAGCTGGGACTCTAGAGACGAAAGTCATTGAATCTGTGACCAAGAATAAATACAGAAACATAAATACATAATAAACTTCTGCGTGCAATTGAAAAATGAAATTAGAAGACGTGTCAAAATAAAGAAAAGCTATTTGCCGGAAAAAAAGCACACGCATACGAAAGATATAAAATGGAAAGAAGGAACGTAAAACGAATGGTGATAAAAGGCAAAAGGAAGGAATGGGAAATTTTTGGCCCTAGGTTGGAAAACCAAAAATTATTCTATAAGGTATTAAAACAAATAAGAACAGAAAAGTCCAATGATATGCGACAATACATCTTGAACAAAAACGGAGAAATATTGATAGACGGAAAAGAAATAATAGATAGGTAGAAAGGCTACTTCCAAAAGGTTTTGTGCAGAGAAACAAATATAGCAAAAATTAAACAACAGGAAGACAGGAATATGAAAGAGATGAGATAAAGCTTGTTGAATTGGAGGAAGAAATTAGTATAACATTAATCAGCACAATAATGAATTATAGATAAAATGATGAATTATTAGAACAAATTATAGATAAAAAGATTAGAACAACAATAGCCGTCACTAAGTGAAGTACAAAGTTTATTTAGAAAAAGAAGGAGTTTACAAAATCATGGGGCAAATAGTACAAAAACCGTCAAAAGAGAAGGAAAAAGTATTTTTAACATTTATAGATCATGAGAAAGCTATCGATAGCTTAAGGCATAGAAAAGTAGACAATAAGCTAATCCGACTAATAAAACTAATATATGAAAGCAATATAAACATAGTAATCGCCAATAACACAGCATCGGAATCATTTACAACATCAGAGGGGCTAAGACAAAGGGATAACTTGAGCCCAACACTCTTCAATACTTATATGGAGCAAGAAATTTAATGTAGAACACGTGATCTTACGAAGAGTGGAAGTATCCGAGGGAGCGTTCGCCAACGACGGTAGTACTAATTGCCCAAACAGAAGAAGATCTTAGAAGGAATGATGATACCTGGAACAAAGTACTGAAGCAATATGGAATGAGAGTGAACAAGATCAAAACAAAAGTCATGGTAATAAGTGAAGATCAAGTAGAGATGGACAATTAAAATAGGAGGAACACAAATTGAACAAGTTGAAACATTCTAATACTTAGAAATGATAATAAAAGAGAATGTTCACAGAAAGCAGAAATAAATAAAAAATAGCCAAGGTGGTGAAGATATATTATGCCATGAATAACACCTTTATTAATAAGATACAGAAAACGAAACTTAAAGTATACAAGGCTATACATCAACATATTAATGTATGGCTGCGAAACGTGGGTACTAAACAAAACACGAAAGAAGCAATATACAAGCAGCGGAAATGAAAATCCTGAGGTGTCACGTGACTAGATAAAATCAAGAAACAAGAAATAAAAAGGCAAACAACATGGACTAAGGTACGAATGCTGGTTCAAGACAGAAAGAAATGGAAAAGATTTGCGTAACAGAGGAAAAATAATGTTTGGTGATATGGGTGAGTTTGTCATTTCTTCTGAATGATACAAATCGAATAATATATAAGCAATAAATGTTCCTAAACAATTCTCTAGGGCTACTTTCCAGATTTGTAGATCGAGTTACAAGAGAAACTAGCGATGTAGAACTGATCGAGATGGGCAAAACAAAAAAAGGGAAGTATAAAAATGGAATCCCCCGAGATGGGACTTGGCGCCGTAATCGATATTAAAAGCTGTGACAACTTAATCGTAGACCGAAACTCAATTACTAGCGTCGCCGTCACATAGCGTTGGAACGCTCGACCGTCCAGGGAGGAAGAACCCCTTGAGCTCCGAGAACGTCCGAACGATCCATTTGTTACCGACAGAGGGCTTTTAATGCATACCCGTCTAGTTCTTAATCAAGTCGTCTGACGCGGTTTCGTAATTAACTTCCGCGGTCTATTATGCATTGGCGTCGGTCGCGACACCGAACCTACCCGTTTTTTTGTGCGGGATCCATTGTTATACGCATTTCCGCGAATAGAGTTAAACAGAGGGCTGATGATCATTTGTCAACGACAACGCCGCATCGAATGCTTAATGAACTTTGGATATGAATGGGAAATTTTTCCATAAAAAAAATTAACATATTGAATTATCTATGTACGGTGCTTATTAACCCATAAAGCTATTATTAATATTCCCCAATTAAATTCGTAAAATAATTTATTAACCGAACCGTAAACTTTCAATTAATTATACATTCCTTTTTGGTCGCGAAGAAGCTAGTATAAAAACCCAAACGGGATTCAACACAATCACTTCGGCTTCCACCTCTGAGTAGTAAACATCCTCACATCCATAAGGTAAAACTAAAATCTATTAAAACGTATTAAAAATAATATTTGTTTTGCAGTAAAATGGCAAAATTCTTCGTCATTTGCGCTTGTTTAAGTAAGTAATTAATAAAAACCCCAAAGCAAATTAAAATAATTTTTTTGTATTAATTTAGTCGCAATCAATTTTGCGGAAACAAAGAGGCAAGTAGTTAGTGACAGTGAATCAGCCGCTGGAGGACATTTCTCGTCTGTTTCCATCTCAGACGGTGGATATGGAGGTGGATACGGTGGAAAAGACACCTACAGCGCCGGAAGTGGATTAAAAACAATCGCCCAAGGATCAGCCGATCAAGCCAATAACGCCGTGGCCAACCAACATTCCGCCGCAAGAAACGCAGCTTTTGCTGCAAAAAGCACTTTGGCACAAGCAGCTGCTGGAGTAAATCACCCCATCAATTAATTTAACAACTTGATTAAAACTAATTTGTTATAGGCTGCAGCAACAGCACAAGCAGCCCTTATTGGTAAACACATCTTAGTTCAAAAACTCCAACAAGATGTTGCCGAAGCTCACCAACAACTCGAATCCGAACTTAATCAATTAGAATTAGCCCAAAGGTCTGCTTCTGCCGCTCAAGCAGCTGCTAATCAAGCCCAACAAGCTGCCAACGCAATCAACTCCGCTGCTAACGCCGTTCAAGGAGGCGCAGCTCACGCTCAACAAGCCGCCGAAGCTGCCCATGCTGAATTAGGATCCCAAGAAGCCATGGTAGGACACGCTAAACAAAGGTTATCTTCGTTAGGACAACAACTTCAAGCAGCTCAAGCCGATCTTCATGCCACTCAGGCTGCCGCTCAACAAGCTGAATCCGCTGCACAAATTGCGCAGTCTAATGCTGCACAAGCTGCCGAAAAAGCTCAAGCCGCCGGACTTGAACACGGAGGAGGATTGTCCATTGGAGGAGATGATCATGGATTCTCTTCATCCGGAAATGGATTAGGAAGCTACCATTAACTCAACCCACAAGCTGCCAAAAAAGCCCAATCAGCTGGATTAGAACAATACGGAGGTTTTGGAGGGCTTAATGAATACCATAATTAATAGGAAATTGTTTGTGTATTAAATGTTTTAATTGTAATAAAAGTTTATAAAATATTAGAAAAATTTGATATTTTTTATTGAGAACTTTGAAAATTTGCTATCTTAAAGCTATCTTAAAATGCATTGATTTGGTCTTGATCTTATGCCAAAAAGTACGTAGTAGCACCCAATCTACTCCACTGAGAGTATTTCTGATTCGCTCCTTCGACATAGAGTAATTTACAACATGTCTCCAACTACATCTGGAGACGTTTCGATCGAACTCGATTATTCTTCTTATAAATTACGATCAATGTAATAAATTTAGACACTTCCTAAGAAATCATGACAGGTAACCAAAGCATGTTCAGGAAAGAATGGATAGCAACATCCAATAAGTGGTCCCAGAAAAAGGTTTGCTCTTCCATAGTTTCGGCGTGATTTACGGCTAGGCATGATCTACTATGAGATCATTGTACCTCAACCCGAACTGTACGGGAAGTACACGGAAGTCAACGACAGTCCTAAGAAGTAAAACATGCACTAAATTGATGTGCTACATGATTATATTCGATCTCATATTGCTCAAATTACTCACGAATACCTTAATTATTGGAGTTCTCGATTTAGGGCACTCCTTAAGCTACAGCCAAGGGGACGCATAATAATTCCCCTATCGGTGTACACATTCGTTTCTGCAAAGTGGTGGTAGTTATAGTACCATTAGGTATATTCAAGGTAATCATAGGACATGGACATCTGACTATTGTTGTACATATAGAGAACATAAAGGTACACACAGATAACTACAAAGCAGCTGCGGTAGTAACTAAGAGAACAGGCACGTTTAAGTACTATAATCATACGTTGCTATCAAGGATAGACTAGGAAGAACAGGAAATGAGGCGATTGAGTGGTTTATCAGTAGCAGCAGTATCAGAGCTATTAGACCCTAAAGACGCATAGGGTGGTGTTTAGTGATGAATACCGATTCTGCTTGAGGTAATATAAACGGCCAGTGATATGTGGATAACGTAGCAGAACACCATATTGTGCCATTTCTTTATCAGTTGGAGGGCTGACTTTTCCAGCAGAAGAACAGAATACGGTTAGCTTGGGACATCACACCTATTCTGCTAGAGTCTTGGAAGACCTTACCTATAAGGAATTTTTCGGGGTTGCCTTATAATGTGCTACATTCTTAGTTGTTATCATAATGTTTTGGTGAACCTCATATCCAAACTGGCTAAAAAAATATATTAGAAAGATTATGTGATTGTCACTTAAGAGATCTTGTACATAGATCGTTAGATCCAAATCAATATGAGTACACCAACTACAAGTCCATATCAATAGAAGAATCCACCTTCGTGAGAGCTTTCAAAGATATAGAGACAGCCTTTGATAAGATAAACTTTTTAGATATTAATAAAGTTTTGCGACCTTAAACAAACAATCGTTAAATTATGGGCTGGTAAAGCCAATTTTAGAAAAGTTTATACAAGAGTATATTGCTATACTACTTTCATTTGTAAAAACAGATAGAGTTTGTCTATAGATCCCAAAAAGTTCAATGTACTAGACTTATCAAGAGAAATACAATATCTAAGTGTATGCCAACAAAATTCATTCTTGATGGTTTAAATAGTTGGACTCAGTTTCATTGTATTGCTTGGAAAAAACATTGTCAATCAGACGGATATAACCGATATAAAACTTGCTGATGACTACATCATTACCTCCAATATATTCAAGTATATTATAGTCTTCAATCTGATGAAGTGAGTATCGCAGTGGTAAAGCTAAATACTAACTTGTAAAATTAAGCGTTGCCACTCAGATTTTGCTTTCCAAATTATCGCTTATTTTGGGAAGTTATTTTTGAGTCCAGTTTGTACCAACATCCCCTAAATCTCACAATTCAGTGTCATTATACTAAGTATTTAATCCATCACAATTACATGGAGTATGTTAAAAGAGCTGAAAGTAATATGCAATCTGATCCAAAGGTGTTTTGGGCTTTTACTAAGTCGAAGAAGCGTGCGGATGTCATTCCTTCTACGATGTCATGGAATGGAACTGTTGTTGGCGATGGTGTCGGAGTATGCTCATTGTTTGCTGATTTCTTTTCTTCGGTTTTTGTGGATCCTGCTCCAATCCAGCATAATGTCGATTGTATAGAAATTGATACCCTTCCTTTGAGTCAGATGCAGTTTGACAGAATTGAGGTTGAGGAGGCCCTGATGGGCATCAGGGTTACAGACAGTATAGGTACTGATGGTATTCCATCAACTTTAATCAAGGAATGTTCACACTCTCTGTCCCTTCCTTTAACTATTTTATTTAATGCTTCATTGAAAATGGGTGTCTTTCCTTTATTGTGGAAGCGGGCTTTTGTTCTTCCCATTTTTAAATCTGGGGACCGTGGTGCTATATCCGATTACCGCCCCATATCTATTTTGCCAGCATTTGGGAAAGTGTTTGAGAAAGTAGTTCATGCACGTCTATTCTTTGCCCTTAAGTCTAAAATCAATTCTAGACAACATGGTTTTTTTGCTGGTAGCTCGGTGGAGAGTAACTTGCTTGAATATACCCAGTATATCTTATCTACTCTGGATGATTCTTGTCAGTTTCTGATTCAGTTTATACGGATTTTAGTAAAGCTTTCGACCGGGTGGATCACAACTTACTTCTGTTCAAACTAAAGAAGTTTGGTGTTCAGGGAAATCTTTTACAATGGCTTGCTTCCTATCTGAAGGAGAGACGCCAGATTGTTTCGGTTAATGATTTTTTCTCTAATCCTGTGTCGGTTCCTTCTGGTGTTCCACAGGGTAGCCATCTGGGCCCTTTACTGTTTAATATTTATGTTAACGACATATTTGACGTCGTTAATTATGCCCAATGTTTAATGTATGCTGACGATTTAAAACTCTTTCTCCGTATCTCCTCACCTCTTGATTGTTCTAAACTGCAACCTGACTTAAACAATCTACATGCTTTTTGCTTAAATAATCGCCTTTCATTAAACTTATCAAAGTGTAATGTTATTTCCTTCTCTAGGAGGGTGAACACAATCCACTACAATTATAGCGTGGCTGGTGAGAGGTTGCAACGTGTCTCATTTATTAGAGATTTGGGTGTTACATTTGATTATAAATTATTATTTGATAAACATATCGATACTGTTGTCTCCAAAGCCTGGCGTATGTTAGGATTTATTATGAGATCAACGGTAACTTTTTCAAACATTGCTGCAATTAGAAATCTCTATTTTGCCTATGTTTACAGCACATTTAACTTCTGCAGCGTTGTTTGGAATCCTCAGTATCTCTCGTATAAATCTAGAATTGAGCGTATTCAATCTAAATTCCTCAAATACCTTTGTTTTAAATTTTCCATTCAATACATTGATTACGAATCAACTTGCACTTCTTTTCGTATGTTAACCCTCAACCAGCGTCGCTTTTGTGGGGATATATTATATTTTTACAAACTTTTGAACAACAAGTGTGATTCTCCAATGCTTGTTGGTTCTATATGTGTTCACGTTCCTCCGAGATTACTTCGCTTTGATTTTCTATTTATGACACCTACTCCTACAACCAATGTCTGTCAAAACTCTCCTTTATTGAGAATGACAAGATCGGCAAATCGTGTTAACATAGATCTGTTTCAGCATTCTTTCTATGCATTTAAAAAACTGCTCTTTGCTGCAGTTGGTGTGTTGCCTCGAGCGTTCATTTGATATTTGATATATGATATATTTATATCACCTAAACTTAGTTTTAGTTTTTTTTCCTTTTGAATCCCTTTTGTACCATTAATGTTAATTCATTATTATTATTATTGTGAACTGTAATTCTATTTTATTTGTATACAATTGGTTGTTTGTGGTACAGTATTATTGGGTTCGACCTGTTTCTGTACCCACATGAAATAAATAAATAAATAAATAAATTATGGACTCTCTCCCACATATTAGCAAGCTCGTTAGCTCGACTTACTCCAATCTAAAACTGTCAATTTTACAACAGTCGATATATTCCACACTACTTAGAACTTCTGTTCTCTCAAAAGGTTTTGGAAGCTCGAGATTTTGCTAGATAAACGCTGAACAACCAAGGTTTAAAAATGTTGAAACGTTCTAAATCAAAATTTCTAGTTGCGTTAAAATCAGTGTACCGCAAGCTAAAATAATACATAGGCTGTTATTATTTCTGTCGTAAAAGAAAGCTTCACATTCAAGGAATGAATCTATAAACAAACATTCATTTCAAATCGCGAAGTTCCAGAAACTGGTGTTATTCAGAGAGAGTAAGTTCGTTCATCAAAGATTCATGTTTGATAATTCATGGACAAGGTTTTCACCATTGCAATTGTATGTTGATTACAGTTTCCAGAAATGTTCTCTTTGTGCTAGTGGAAGGACCCAAACAATATACTTAAAGTGGAAATAAATTAATCATATTTTTGTAAGTAAAGGCAAATCTTAAACTTTAACAGAAACAAAAATGAGTATGTGTGTAAATTTTTAAACTTATTAATTTCAATAAAAATATTGATAAAGCGCAAGTACCTACTTATCGTATTATTCGATAAGGCTATCAAAACCTTGATAATGTGCGCATAAACATCTCACTATTCCTCATTAGTACATTCCCGTAAATTACACAATGAACAAGTCGATATTTCTAAGTAAGTCGTTTTTCTTTCTTTGTTAATAACAGAATTATTTTTAAATTTCCTTTTTTTTAGTTTCACTCGTAGTGGTTATTTGCCACTCGTACACAATCAAATCGACAGAAAAACATAAACATTTTCCAGTACAATTAAGCCTTCCGCAACAACGCAAATCGTTTCAACGTTTTTATAAGAACCATGTAGAAATAGTTGATTGTCCGGACGGTTACACTTTTAACGTGAAGAAAATGACTTGCCAAATGGACACCATGGTGACAGATTTGGGTTACATCGAGAACAGCTGCCCGAACGATTTTCGAGGAGACGTTCCCGATCCGTTGAACTGCAGGAATTTCATCTCCTGCTACGACGGTGTCGCTTATTTGCAAGTTTGTTCCGCTCATCTATTGTTCAGCGGTGCCTCCGTAAACTGCGAATGGCCCGAAAAAAGTCAGTGTTGTGAATATCCGGAGAATACAGCCAAAAAATTCGTCGGTTTTCATCAAAAATAACCTAATCTAAAGAATAGAACTTATTATTTAACTTTTAATTAATAAAGAATGCAGCAGTATTAATATTTTAGTCATTAAAAAAAAATAAGTGATGATAAGTTTGCGTGTTGTTTCCGGATTACATTTCTTATCTGTTCAAGTCTATTGAACTTGAGCACTGATCTATATCTTATATCGATAATACCGGATATTTTTAAGGTATTTAAACAATAATTTTGAAACGTCGTTTCAAAATACAACCTTGAACAAGTGTAGTAATTTAATATTTCTTATTATTTTTTTTGTTATCCTAATCTATGTCATTGTTATTTTTAATAAATTCTCGCTGAGAAAAGCTTTTATCTAAAATATGATTAATTTAGTTTGAATACTTAAATTGAAATACGTTTTAAAGTACCTATTGGGAAGTGAATAAAGTGTAAAACCGATAGGAGTAACAAGTAAAAGGTGACAGATATCGCGTAAAGCGAATGAAAACTCGTCGATTCGAAGTCAGTTAAATGTTTTTCGGTCAGGAACAAGGGCGGGGTTCCGTTTTGGAAAGTTTTACGTTGGCACACCTTGGCTCTAGGATCGAAAGAAACGAGGTCTATCCGTGAGACGCATTTCAACTGAAAACCCAGTCGAGACTGGCTTGCGGATGCCTTGGGGCTTAACACGGGCAAAAGAACCCGTAGGAGGTGAGCTGAATTTTCTGGACTCTTCCGACGACAATTGAGAACTGATTAGATGAATTCTGGTCTGCCCGGCTCCTCCGCCCATTCTTCCGGGAATGTTCGAGAATGCCCGTTAGGGTTTCATTATTGTTACCGCCGCTTTCTTACATTCAATTCGTCTTGTTACATATGTATTCATACAAATTTTAAATTCAATAAGAAAAATACACAAAAAAAAAATAATCAACTTTGATACTCTTTATTTTAATAAAACTTTTCTTACATTTCGCAAAAGTTTGCATAAATTCTCTTAGAACTTTCATAAATTCTTTGATTTATGTAAAGTTTCTCATAATTTCAAGAGTTTAACTGATTGTAATGGTATTTGGAAGAAGATGAAATAATTTTGATTGTCAACAAAGAATTTAAGAAAACTGAAATTAATTGTAGCCAAAATTCGCATTAATTGCAAATTTTTAATTATTTGAAGAACGATAATTGTAATAACAAATAGTAATTGTTTGTGTTATGAATTACACCAAAAACATACGTAAGGCAAAAAGAGAGTCTTGGAGGAGGTTCTGTGAGGGAGTGAAAGACACACCCAGCGGTGCAAGAATTCACAAGATTCTCGCTAGAGATCCGGCACTACCCCTGGGCTCACTTAGGCGGCCTGACGGTAGTTTTACGGACTCTAGCAGAGCCTCGTTTGAGCTTCTAATGCAGACTCACTTCCCAGGAAGCCTGATGATGAAAGCCGATAATGCCACAGCGGGCTATTCCTGCAAGGCAAAGCGCCCCTCAAATACGGATTGGAGTGTGGCTAGAAAAGTCGTCACTTACACATCCGTGGACCAGGCAATTCAAACGTTTAAGCCGTTCAAATCGCCTGGAGAAGACAATATCTTTCCTGCTTTGTTACAGCAGGGGAGGTCTTTGTTGTTGCCAATTTTGGTAAAAATTTTCAGAGCGAGTGTCGCCTGGAAATATGTGCCGGCAGAATGGACTAAGGTACGGGTATCTTACATACCCAAAGCGGGCCGTTCGGTCCCTACTTCTAATGCCTTTCGACCCATCAGCCTAACGTCATTTCTGCTGAAAACCCTTGAAAAAGTTCTGGAACGGTATATCCGTACGGTGCCATTGGTATCTGGTCCACTGAGTCGCCACCAGTATGCTTATCAAGCGGGAAAATCAGCAGAATTGGCTCTACACAACTTAGTTGGTAGAGTATCCAGGACGCTGCAGGATAAAGAAATCTTGGTTTGTGCGTTTCTGGATATAGAGGGAGCGTTCAACAACGCAATACCACAATCTCTTGAAAGAGCTGCTCTTGACAGGGGAGTGGAAGCAACTATAGCGGGTTGGATCCGCAATATGCTAGATAGTAGAATAGTTTCTACTTCACTCCACGGTGATACGATACGCTTCAGGCCGGGAGGTGGCTGCCCGCAGGGAGGGGTGTTATCTCCCCTGCTTTGGTCCCTCCTAGTTGACGATCTGATTGCGATAGTCGAAGCCGTTGGTGTGGAAATACAAGCTTATGCTGATGACATTGTCGTTATGGTCAAAGGAACCTGTTTGCCGAGGATATCTAAAGTCCTCCAGGTGACCCTAGATACCATTTGCGCTTGGTGTAAGGGAGAGAACCTCTCAATAAACCCGCAAAAGACAATTGTTGTGCCCTTCACCAGGAAGCGAAAGTTGGATGGACTAATCCGCCCAACTATCCAAGGTGAAGAAATTCCTTTCTCAAAGGAAGTCAAATATCTAGGAGTAATCCTAGACAAAACCCTGTCATGGAATGGACATTTGCAGGGAGTTTTGCACAAAGCTAGACTATCCTTGTGGACTTGTCGCAGTCTTTGTGGAAAAAATTGGGGTCTTACCCCTGAAAGACTGTACTGGCTCTATGTGACTGTGGTTAGACCTATGATCACATACGGAGCAGCAGCCTGGTATAGGAAAGTCCGACAGACTTCAGTTATCAGTAAACTTTCACGAATTCAACGAGTAGCTGGATTGGCAATCTCTGGTGCGATAGGCACAACGCCAACTCTAGCAATGGAGGTTCTGCTTGGCCTATCTCCTCTGCATTTGCATATAGAGAAAGTGGCTAGAACAACCATTTACAGATTTAAGCAATATGCTCAAAACTGTTCCGACATGTCCTACCAATGGGCTGCGGAAGACATTATAAGCACTGATACTGTGCTATCAATGCCGTCAGATTTGGCGGTATCACTATCAGTGATTAATGCTCGATACCAGATTGTACTGCCTGAGCGGCAGTCCTGGATCGAAAATGAAAATTCTCTGGTTCGGGCAGACATTTGCTTGTACACAGATGGATCAAAAACGCCTGAAGGGGTAGGAGCAGGAGTATACTGCCAGACACCTCGAATTAAGCAAGCCTACAGCCTGGGTACGTACTGTACTGTATTCCAGGCGGAAGTATTTGCTATTGACATGGGTGCTAAAATCCTTCTTGAAAGAGGGGTGAAGAACATGACAGTACGAATTTTCTCAGACAGTCAAGCCGCTCTCCAGGCGCTGCAAGCCGTGAAAACGGTGTCGGCTCTGGTTAATGATTGTAAGAGAACATTAAACACACTGAGTTGTGATAACAGAGTCTCTCTGATCTGGGTCCCGGGTCACTCTGGGGTTGCTGGCAATGAAGCGGCAGATAAGCTAGCACGAGATGGCAGCGCTGAAGCGTTTGTGGGACCGGAACCAGCAGTTGGTGTATCATTTGCGATGGCCAAATATAGGATTGGACTGTGGGCTGAAGAGAGACTTCGCCTACTGTGGACCAGTTCTCCTGGAATGAGACATGCTAAGGTGTTTATTAACATCGCCACTGTCAAACCCGGGAATATTTTAGGACTTGCCCGTAGTAGCATAAAAGTTCTAATGGGTGTTTTTACTGGGCACTGCCGATTAAAAGCACACCTCAACTTGTTGGGTTTAGCCGACGATGTTGAATGCCGACTATGTGCGGAGGAAGCAGAGACGGTTGAGCATGTTTTATGCCACTGCCCTGCCGTTAACCGTATCAGATTCTCGATTTTTGGGTCGCAGTTTATCTCCTCAAAAGATCTGAATGACCTTTCGCCGAGCAAGGTATTAATGTTCGTTAAGAGCATTGGACTGCACGGTGAAATTTGATAATGATATCTATCGGGGTACAATAGATCCTTAGGGTCGCGGTGCAAGGTTGGTTGGTCCGCCTACCCGATATGTATTCTATGTAATGTAATGTAATACAAAAAGATTTTAAAAAAAACCCCAATTTGTATTATTGGCTCTATATAATTTTTATGCATCTTATTCATGATGAAAAGTAAACTTACTTTCTTTCAGAATACTTATACGTTATTCGACAAAATGCATTAATTTTTATTAGTACAAATTTATGTTTACAAGTAAGATGAAATAAAGATATTGACTTTTGGGAAGAAAACTTGCCTTGTAACGAGATAATCTCTCTCAATAACATCTCTGACATATCATTGTCCTAACACAGTGCCTCAGGGCCCTAATATCCCGCTACATCATACCTGCCCTACCTTAACATTGTCCCTATCTACGCTCGATGTCGGCTATGATACCCCGCATTGTTTATTTATACTAAATATTGTTACAAACATGGTTCAATATTAACCCTCGCAGTACTGACGTTTCGCCAACTGCGGCGGACGGTGCCTGGGTCAACTGAGACCCGAACAGTTTTGGTTTGTATAGAGATAGAGTATAAAAATTAAGCTTTTACCATAATGATTATGATTTAGTTTATTTCTAAAATAAATTATATCAGTGATATGTAACATAAAAAAACATAAAAACATGTTTATTCATCTTTGCAATTGATTTTATGTATCAATCAATGTTTGTTGTACATGTAGAATGTACATTATAAACATACATATTTTTGACAAATGTCACATTTTATTTTGTATTCATCACAGATTTATTGTCGTTTCCGACACACATGCTACACCTTGAGCATTTTCCTAATATTTTCCTCGTTTGTTTATTTATTTTTCGGTCTTTTAATTGCGCCCACAATGTGTTTCAAAAATCCTACTGCATAATGAAAAAACTGTTTTGTTCTTGTTTTTATATTACCAGCAGCCCAATCCGGATTTTTGAGTTGCCATAGTACAAATGCATTATAGGCTCGAATATCTAGGTGATGTAAAAAAAGCGACAGTGGCCAACGTAGTGTACATCTCCGGCAAGAGTATTTTATCTAAAACATCCACTCCACTCTTTGTTGAATTGTAATAATTAACCTAATATTATTTAGCTTTGTAATTATTCTCTTCATTAGAAATGACATGTTCTCAGTAGTAGAAAAAAATGGCAGTAAAAAAATTGGTGGTTGTAATAATTCGTTTAGATCCTTTCCAAAACTTTGAAAGATATCGAACTACACGTTGTCCTTGCCCTTTCGCCGCTGTGCTTCCGCATTTCCCCAAATAAACTTAAAAATTACAACAATAAAATGTATTATCATCACGTAGGGCCCACACTTTCAGCCCATATTTTCCCGGCTTACTCGGCATGTACACCTTGAATGGACATCGTAACTAATTGTTCATCAACAATACCTACATTAGACGCTCCATAATTATTCCTGCAATTTCTTGCTATAATATTTATAACAATTCTCAAAGCTGCTTATCAACTTATCGTTTATTTTTCTTTCTTCTCGTGTTTGAAAGTCGACAAAACGCAGAAATCGTAAAATATCTATCCCAAGACATAGATGCTCGATAAATTTGCAATCTTTTCGTTCCATAAATCCTTCTTACTTTCACGTGATTCCCGAAAACGGCCAGTAATAAGTAAAATCCAAAAAAATGCCTTCAGTTCTACACGGTCTACCGGTTTCCATATTTCATTTGAATTCACTTTGTAAAATTCAGTCGCTTTTCCATTTGTATGAGTAATTATAATGACCATGATTTCATCATTTATAAACAAGTCAAAACATTGCTCCACGGTTTCTACACTCTCAGAATTTGCAGTGAGTGCAGCATCATATTGAGCATATTCTATATCTTTGTTTGTCGGGGAAATATATCTCCATGTTCGTCCTACAAACATTTTAGACTTTATCGTGTGGTACGTTGTCATTACTGCTTTCACCGTCAATCTCATCACTTTCAAAATCTGCTAGTGAATCATCTGGTACTGCATCTCTAAATGTTAATGATAATGCTAAAATATGCCTAAATATCGTCATCACACAATTTCGTGTATCTAGTCCAGATTTACTAGTCGCTACATCGCTTTATCACTTATTACCATCGTTTCCAATTAATCTCGTAAAGTTTATTTAGTAAATTTGAAAAAATTAATTAAATTAAGAGTTCCATAACTTACAAGAAAATTTTTTTATAAAATTATCGTAAAAATTAAAGTTTTATTCTTAGGAGTCCATCTGCGACGTGAAGAAACTTGAGGTGGACTGAAGGACATAAAATTTGGGGAAAAAGTCTTGCGCCGGAAAAGCAAAAAGGTAGTGGAGGGGAGAGGTTAATTTTAAATGAATTTTAAAAATTGGCGGACATTATTAAGTTCTGTTGTGTCATTTAAAAGTTTGTTATTATAATTGTTTAAATTAATATGCAATTCTTCGAGAAGGTCCATTTCTCTCGATTTCCCCACGTTTAAAAGTAATTTAACATTGTTAAATTCTATTTTATGTTTATGTTCGTTGATATGTTTAAAAACTGCAGATGAGGGTTTGCTTAGGTGTTCTTTGAAACGTTTTTTAATGCTGCGTCCAGTCTGACCAATATAAATTTTATCGCAATCAGGACATTTGATTTCATAAATACCACTCAGCTCCTCTTTGTTAAATTGATGTTTATTATTAAAAAGGTGTTTATGAATTTTGTTTTGAGAGACAAAGGCAGGGGCAAGGCCAAATTTCAACAAATTTTGTTTAACGGGGTTAACAATAGATGGGTGGTAAGGTAAGGCAATATATTTGGTTTTGGACTTAGTGTGAGGATAGATTAATTTAGTGATTTGTGAGTTGTGCACTTTATAGTATTCAGTTTTTTTAACGATGAAGAGTAAGTGGCCATTTTTCTCGATTCCTTTAACATAACACGTGTCTCTACCATGTTTTAGAATATTTTTAACCAACTAACTTGCCCTTAAGGTTTTTAAAGATTTGTTAATGCCTTTTGTTTCTTCCAATCACCTACAAAATTTCACCACGTTTATCAGATGTTCAATTTCGTGCTCTATAAGTAATTGACGGTAACTAAACAAAATTAAAAAATATGTATAACAAATTTCTTACTTCAATTTTATGTTTTTTAGTCGTGCCTGATGAAGAGATTTTGAATCTCGAAACATGTTGCACTGATCTTATATTAAGAATAAATAATTTTTCATCGTTCCCAAGGAGCTTTTATTTATCACTTACAACCCACGAAGAACATTGAGTCAATTATCACCAAAATTCTTTGACATGCCTGAACATAGTATTTAACTTAAGTACGAAGGCTTTCACGGCCGATATTAATTAAACTAAAACTAGAACTAACACTAGCACTATCACAAGAACTAACACTAGACCTAGAACTAGAATCTTTCGGGTTAAACCGTGCGTTTTTTGAAAAAAGTTTGACGTTTCGGATGCCATGTTGCAACCTTCTTCAGAAACAAGTTCGAAGTTCGAAGTTCACTTCGAACTTGTTTCTCCGAACTTGCTAGTGTTAGTTCTAGTTTTAGTTTAAATAGTATTTAACTGTTCTCTAACTATCTAGTGTAGATGTTGTTCTTAATATACCTCAATATCAGTCTTAATATCTCTTGACATCGTCTAAGATGCCTCAATATTGTTCCTTAAATCAGGTGAGGGTAAGCATGTGATCTTTCAATATTCATACGAGCTAACTTATGTCGATACATGCCATTACCATAACTACCACAAAGAACTTACTAATAATAGTTTATTGTTTCCCAGAAGGTTACAATTTATACTACAATACTTATCGCTTATACAATTTTTAAAAGAACTTACTATATCCTCAATTCCTCATAATTGCACATTGTTAGGCAAAATACACTAAAATAGCTCGATAGCATTTTCAGAAATGCGTTTAAAGAATCAATTTAAAACGTGCTTTATTTTATCCTCAATTTTCATATCTCAATTTCTTAAATTTCTACTCTCAATACATATTTACAACAATCAAACACGCAGAAATAATTTATGGCAAATCAAATTTTCATTAAAGTTATTTTGAAATATTTTTTATATCATCATTATATCTCAATTCGTTATTGAACTACGATTTTTTAAATTTATGTACTTGAAATATTAATATATAAACTCAGAGTATGGTTAAAATATTTGATTGGCTTGATTGATTAACTATTAATTTTGACGTAATGTCAAAACGTTTTACATGACTGATACAAGTAATTTTTTTTCTTAAACTTTTATACACATACTTTTATTGTTCACGGAGAGATTATGCGACGACTCATTTTAAAGAAAATGAACGGAAAACGAAAAGTTTCGATAGTTGGTTTACGGCAAAAACTCTTTGCGGTAATCCTGACAAGTAAGAATCAAAGAAGTTTCATTAGTCTTTTTGAGACGTATGATTTCTTTTTAGTGGCGTTCGTACATCGTTCGGATGCGATGCCGACAAACCCCGGATCTTTAAAACAGAATATCATGACTGCAGATATCTCAGGAAGTGATCTTCTTGGAGCTGGAAATGGTGGTGGTACTGCAATCGGTGGTGGCCCTCAACAAATTAACCCTCAAGATCCAAAACTTACCCCGGTTAGAGGCACCAAAGATGAGCAATGTAGCGATAAGGGTACAGTAAGAACAAAGTCTTAATGCTTATTTTTATTTGTTCTTGAAAGTGTAGATAGCATAGTTAAGAAATATAATTTGATGTTAACATATATTGGTACATATACTCTACAATTATTTAAAAAAAAATTATGGTTGTGTTGTATTTTTTATGTGGTAGATCTTAATTTTTAATTTATAGGTTATTTCAGAATTTACATGATGGAACATGGAATTACAAACTAATTACTACAGGAAACATGATTAAAGTTTTAATTTACAACGTGAAATTAAACTTTCCCGAATTTAATTACTTTCAAATTTTCGTTTCCACTCAGCAATTAATCAACGAATTTTGAAAAAAATCCACATGAAAAAAAGATGGTTTAAACGTTATATAAGCAATCAAGAGGAAATAACAAAAACGAGGTACTATTTTTTTAATTCTACTTTTTTTTTTCAATAAACTTTGCTATCTACACGGTCAAAGTAAAACGCCCGGAAATCCCGTTCGAGCGTTTCCCGAAAAATGACCTTTCATCTCTTAACCCAATCGCAGAAATGCTGATCATGAAGCTACAGCATGACCTGAAAGACGCCGAATGTACTCTGCAATCGCAAATGAACGATTTCCAGCGAGCCCTCGCCAATTCTAATGTCGCTGAACGTCAGGTCGACCGCTTCGTCGACCAACAACTGAACGTGCTCAATCAAGCGCTGAACGTGGACAGAGCAGCAATTTGCCATGCGCAAGAAGTCGCCTCTGCAAAAGCATGTAGAGTTCGGCAACAACCACCATTCAAAACCCAAAGGTTTGTTCGTCTTATGAGGACAATGAACTCTAAAGGACAAATATATCATTTATAGTGGTTTTCAACTGTTATAATATGTTTAGAATTTATCAGGTCATTTATTAATTTTAAAACCAAAAGATATGCTTAAATATTTAAAGATACACCAGATACACACAGTTTTTTGAAAAATTAAGAAAACGTAATCTACTGTAGGTTAGGATATATTTTTGAATTTCATAGTCATTTAAACAAAAATAGTAGTATAGGCACAAAAACATAAAAAAACGAACATTAAATTTGTTTATTCCGATTCTATTAACCTTTTAACTAGAAAGGACGTCGCCCACAATATCATCACTGTTAACTACATAGATATCATAGCACAACGGAAATGGATATCAAATCTGCACTAACTTCAGAAGCATTCTTCGTAGCAGCTACGAAAGATGTTGCTTCGCTCAATTTCAGTCAACTTTCAGTAACGATCAAGAAAAAAGCGAAAGCTGAATGCCAAAAACGACTTCCGATTCAGTCTTATTCACAAAACTGGCAAATGAAGCAGACTGCATTTATCATACAACTCACTCTTAGGTTGTGTAGAATTAACCGGACAGAAACTTTGAGAAAAGTACTGCTTCTAAGGTTTACCGAGACAGTACGTTATCCTTGGTGGAGAGGTAACAATTGGACATTTCAATAAATGTAGGCAATCTACCGAGCATACCGCACAGATCTTCTTCAAGGTATCTATCGACAGTTACGTCAACTCTCACTTTTAAGCGCTTAAAACTACCTTCATCACCATTAGTCAATTAATCGATGATTACCTAACCTCAATCTTTTTCAACCTGGGAGCAGAACCCTTAGACGCAAAGTTCATTACTCACGAATTACTGTCATAACTTCAATCTAGTTATGGTTGGACCTCTGGAGTCGACGATCTCTCCAACATCATCCATAAAAGAAGAAAGTGACTGAGTCGTGATCCTATACAGTCATTGGACTGCGATATTGTGTCTAGTTGTTTGGACGGTGAAAACCGTAATGCAGAGAGAAGAACCAGAGAGAAGAAGAGTTTTGAATTTCTTGCATGTCAATGCAGTTCAGACTGCGACAATACCGTTATGCACCAAATCTGGATTAAAGATGGCTCTTATAGTTGAGTCTTAATATCCCTGATTAGTCCATACACAACTATAATTTTGCAAAATCCAGCTTTTACTGAAGTAGTAACCTACACGACTACAAACGTTGCTTTCCACGATTATATGCCAAAACCTTTAATTCTGCAGTAAACCGTTGGAAGGGTTAAATCGGTAATAAGGCTCGTTACTACCATCTTCTGGTTAAGCTATCTAAGGGATTATTACCATGGTTACGGTTATTTTACGCGCTCTGATTGGCTAGTAGATGGGTTTATCTATTAGATAAATTTAACTAAAAGATGGTAGTAATGGACCTTAATCTGGTAATGGAAAATCGATTTTGCTGTAAGTCGACGATGTTGATCATCTCATTTCCTTTTCTTCACCCCTGGTTGCTATTCTGCAACACTTCAATTTCCGTCTCAGCTGCCGTTACATTATAATGCTTTCGGTTTTCCACAATTTGTCATCCCTTTCGAGTGTTTTTTTTTAGACCTACGATCCATTCGGTTTGATCTACTTAATCTGCGTGGTTTTAGTGGTCGCGCTGCTGTCTATAGACATTTGATCACTAAGTCTAACCGAGCTGCTCGGTTAATGTTTTGCAAAACACATCGTGGATGCAACGAATTAATATTCACCCTTTACCATACCGATGGCAGTGTCTGGATTAGACGGCACTCTAAAGATCGCCTCCTGTTCAATAATAATACGTTAAAGTCCTCCAATTGTAAAGTTCGGCGGAGGTGAGATTATGGTCTGGTGGTGTTTCTCTTGGTATAAATTAAAGCATTTGAAACAATGTGGTTCGAAAATCTCTGGGATGAATTGGATCGCAGAGTTTGGTTACAGAACGTATGTGTTTTCTCCAAGCTGAGTGGAAGAAAATGCTAACCAAAATCACACAAGAACTTGTGGATAATATGCTAAGGTGGATTAAGGTTGTAATTGTACAACGCCTTGGTTTTTCCTGCTTAGCGCAATTTTTGCATCATCTTCTTACAGTTCTTGAGTAATTTGAAGTTGTTCTTTACCCGATATCCTTTACACTATTTTCGGAACATGGCTTTTGCTCTTGTAGTTGTCCAACTAACCAATACAGTCCACAAACTTTTATATCAGTCCAATGGGCGTGATCAGAACATATAGCTTTATTCCATATTTGTGTTTCTTATTTTTGATGTACTCCCTAGACAGTAGTCTCCCTTGCCATAACACATAACATGAGTACAAGTGTAGTGTACGAAAATTGGAGAGGAAACGATTTCTAGTTATGCTTTTGGTAATAGTCAATATCAAGTTTATTTTGGAATTGCCACTGTTGACCCACAAATATCCCCGAAAGGAAACAGACATCGCGTGTGCAGAAAATTATCAACATCCTTATTTAATCTCGTTCGCAAGAAAGGGGGTAAGTGGCGAGTAGCTTCTGAGATTACAAGAAACTAGCAGTCAAAGTCGCAAATTGCACAAAGTTGCATTAAGTTTGGAGATTTTTCCGACTTATGCTTTTATAATAAAAATATTAAGATAAGAGAAAAAGAAGGTAAGATAAATGTTTTTCGTAAACTTAAGATCCTTTAGAATTTTCATTGTCCTCGTTCTTTTAATTTTTTTAAATATTTTGATTAAAAGCGTCCAATTGTAGTAAAAATAGCTTTGATGTGGTCACAGATCGAGTCAGTTGGACAGCCCCAGTTGGTTGGATTCGGAGGTGCAACAACCCAATCGAGGAGGAGGATTACCCTCGGATATTTGGCCGGAAAACCGATTGGTCTCAAGAGGAGGGTTGCAGTATCATCGGTGATGTCCCTTTTGATTTTTACTATACAGATTTCACTAAGTAATAGTACAATTTAATGTGTATACTCATCATTTACCTTAATAAAAAAATCTTCAACAATAGGATGGTTAACATTTCCAGGTTAGTTTGTATAATATATGTACCAATAACTATTTCATTTCATTCTGCTATCTACATACATATATTAAAAGCAATTAACCAATTAAAAACTTGATAACCAGAAAACATGATCTGCAAATTACAACATGATTTAAAAGAAGCCGAGCAATCAATTCAGAGTCAAATCGCCGAGTTACAACGTGCTCTCAGTCAATCGAACGCAGCCGAGAAGACTTCTGGGAGATTATTCGATCAACAATTAAACACTTTAAATCAAGCAGTTAACGGGAATAAGGCAGCTCTTTTTCATGCCCAAGAAATGTCGGCGAAAATCTGTGGAAATGGTCCTACGAGTACACGTTATCAACGGGTGATCTCAAATAATCAGGATGATGATCGAATTTTAACCACTTCAACTCCTGGTAACAAAGAAAAAATTCAAAACAATATTCGACCGCACGTTCCATCAGCACCAAGCGGAAGATCGCGTGATTATACCGAGGATTACTTCGTTGAAGAAACTCCGTAACGTACAATTAAATTTTTTTTGTATATTTTAATTAAAATAAATCAATTAACTTAAAAGAAAAAATTAATATATGTACCAATATTCCCAAATGTATTGCTATCAACACTTAAAAATGTTTAAAAAGCCACACAGAGTAATTTTTAGAATTTTTTAAGAATTGCTGATCATGAAGCTAGAACACGATCTTAAAGAAGCCGAAAATACAATCGAAGAGGAATTGCAAATGTTGCAAAAAGCATTGTGCCAATCTGCTAACGCTGCAAAACAAGCCGATCAATTAGCCGATAAAGAAATCGGATTTTTAATGAACGCTCTTTCAATAAATCGTAACGCAATGTGTAAACCTCAAGAATGTGGCAATGATAACGTACGAATTAGAAGTCGTTCAAAAATTAGTAACAACAATAATAAAGTTCAAAGATTCGAATTAATGCCGAGAATCATTCAACGAAACACACCAAAAGAAATCATCGGGAATGAAAATTTAATCATGAATACCCAAAAGAAAAACACTCAAAGTCGATATGAAAAGCACGATTACGATTACAACTTGGTTGATGCTCTTTAAAAGTATTCTTTTTTATTTGTATATTTTAATTTTTAATAAATATAAATTTTTATTTTTGTTACAAAGAAAATATGTACCAAATATGACCTTTTTGCTATTTACACTAAAATCAAAATCAAATAATTATTAATTAACCATAAATTACTGTACCTTAAATTTTAGTGTGCCTCTTACAGTAAACATGGTAATTAAAGCTCAACAAGAGTTGAAAGCGGCCGAAGAAGCGATCAAAGGACTTGTTTGCGAGTTGGAAAATGCTTTGGCTAAGATTCGGATCGCCCAGCAACAGACCAAGCAATTAGATGATCAAGAATTTCGTATTCTTTCGGGTGCATTATCTGGTGCAAATAATGCATTTGAAAAAGCAAGCACTTTGGAAAAATGTAATACTTGTTCATCGGAGAAACCGGGATTTTGAAATGAGTAATTCAAAATAAGTTTTTTTATAAAGAATGTTTATACTTAATTGAAAAATAAGGATTTTTTAATAATATACATAATATATGGATGATTTGTTTTATTTTAATTTAGAATAAAATTTTCTCGATTGAGTTTCGGTGGTTCCCCTCTCAACAAGTAAATGTGAACTATACAAAAGGGAATTGATGGGAAATTCAACCAGTACATATTATACAGTGTCCTATTTAAAAAACTTATATATAGTGCTAGTGTAAAACTAGAACTAACACTAGACCTACAACTAGAAACATATATGTGCGGCTAAATCCGAATATTTCTAGTTCTCGGTCTAGTGTTAACACAAGACCCTAGATTCATACTTCCGTATTTTTGTCAATATCTATGCATTTGAGAGTAAGAGTGCAAGAGAGCAAGCATACATATCTAAATCTCAATCTCTGTCAGCCCCCAATCCTCCCCCCGGCTATGAAACCATTTCAAAATAAACAAAGAAGAAGAGTGCTCAGTCAACTTGCCGCTCACTTAAATAAGCCCTAACCCTTGCCTTAAAGGAAATCAGAGAAAGACTCTTGAAGGAATCAGGTAGCCAATTGTATAAGTTAGGCATACAATACGTAAAGCTGCGTTTGAAAATTTCTAAGCGGTGGTGAGGTATCGTTAGCGTNAAGTCAAACGGCGCACGAGATGCACATGGGAGGTCATTAACCAATTTCCTAAATGTAGACCGGGGAGCAGCAAACAAGTCTAAATCAGAACAAAAATTGTTAAAAGAAAACATGAGACGAGGGACCACGGAGTTAGAAAACGCATTTGTATTAGTACAAGGCACGTAGAATACCGATAAATCACGGGATGGTCGAACAGTAATCCTAAACTGTAACTGAGATAGAATCGTGGAGCAGTCAACAGTGCCGTTACTCACTTTATAAAGCAGCATTAAATCGTTGCTAATGCGCCTGGAAGAGAGTTGAGGGACTCCAAATATTAAGCATCGCTGTGCGTAATCACAGTATGGTAAGTAGAATTTTCGCGATAGCTACCGAAGAAAACGTTTTTGAACTTGTTCTAGTCGATCAATGTATATATGGTATTGAGGGTTCCAAACAGAAGATGCGTAGTTAAGGATAGAAGAAACGAAGGCGAAGTAAAGAGAACGAATACAGGATAAGTTAGTAAAAGGACGGGAGACACGACAAATAAATCCGAAAATGCGAGAGGCCTTATTAACAATAAAATCGATATGAGCTTAAAACCCACTTCTAGAATCAAAGAGAACCCCAAGATCTCGAACACAATCAGATGGTATAAGAGTATTAGGACCGAGGGAATAATCGAAAACAATGGGATAGCGTTTGCGTGTAAATGTAATTTTGGTGCATTTATCGTGTTTGATGAAAAGATTGTTGTTTACACAATAAGCCTGTAATCGGACCAAGTCCTCCTGCAATTTTTCGCAGTCGTCAGGTGAACAAATCGTGGTAAATATTTTGCTATCGTCAGCGTATAGCAGAAACTTGGAGTAATGAAAACACGCATGAATGTCATTGATATATAGCAGAAACAACAACGGTCCCAAATGACTGCCTTGCGCCACACCGGAAGTTATCTCTTTGAAGGAAGAGCGATAGCCATTAATGGTAACAGCTTGTGATCTGCTAGAGATGTAAGAAGATAACCAGTAAATCAAACCAACAGGGATGTCATAATTAAAGAGTTTCTTAAAAAGAATTCCGTGATCTATTCTGTCAAAGGCCTTACTGTAGTCTGTATATACAGCATCCACCTGGTAATTTTTATCTAGAGCATTCAGTAAAAAATTAGAAAATGTGATTAGGTTAGACTCCACTGACCTGCCACGAAAAAAGCCGTGTTGCTCCGGGATTATGTAAGATTTGACCTTAAAGAAAAGCAGATCGTAAACTAGACGTTCAAAGATCTTAGAGGCAATTGACAGAATAGAAATAGGTCTGTAGTTGACGACTAAATTTCGGTCGCCAGCCTTATGGATGGGCAGTATTAGAGCTTTTTTCCATTCGGATGGGAAAATAGCCGTTCGCAGAGAAGTATTGAAAATGTAAAAAAGTGGTTCAGTAAGCACTGATGCACACTCACGAAAAAGCACGCCTGGTAGGCCGTCCGGACCCGCACCCGCTCTAGGATTCACAAGTGACAACGCCTGTAGAATATCATCACGTGAGAACCAAGGTGCGATTTCCGAAGAAGAGCAGTCGCGGATATCAACTAAAGTTCCATCAACAAAGACAGAACTAAAATAGTCAACAAACAGTTTGCAAATTTCCTCCCCACCCTCAACCACTCGATCACCATACGACATCTTACTGGGAATACTCATGCTGCCTTTTTTCCTCGATTTAATAAAAGACCACAGACTGTTAGGATTATCGGACAAGCTAGTCTGTGTAGCCTCTAAGTATAGCTTATAATCAGCTGCAATTAAAGTTTTAGACCGAGTACGGAGCAGACGAAAGGTTTCATAGTGAAGGCGATTACCTGTAGTCTTCCATTTTTTGTGAAATTTTAATTTTTCCTTAATGGCCTTGATCGTTGGCAGGGAATACCAGTTAGGAAATCTGCATTTAAAAGTAATTTTGTGAGGAATAAATTCATCAACTGCTCCGCGAACAACTGAATAAAACACTTCAAGCGCCTCGTCAACTGGTAAGTGACTAATAGCCGCACCCCAGTCTACAGACGCGAGTGATGTACGGATACCTGTATAGTTAGCCTTGTGAAAAAGATATTTACGCGAGCAGTTTTCGCGGAGGGAATGCAATAAATTAAATTTAATTGAAAAAGTTAAAGCAGGATGATGGGTGTCCGCGTGCAAAAGTGGATCAAGGCTTTGAGAAAAATCAGAGATGTTATAGGAGTTACTAAGAATAAGGTCCAAGGTTCTGTCGTTAGCATTACGTACGCCGTTGAACTGCTCAAAATTACAATAAGAAAACGAACTTAAAAACAATCGTGAACGAGCATCATTGGCACTCGATGGCAATAAACCAAGCGATTGCGACGAATACCATGAAATATGAGGTAGATTAAAATCACCAAAAATCAAAATCCTATGGTCAGGGTAGTGATCGCAAACGCGATGCAAAGTTACCAGAAATGCGTCAAGCGAGTCAAAGTCCGCGGGTGTGAGATAAACACAACAAAGCAGCAACCGAGTACCACCGCACTGCACAGAAAGCCACAGATCTTCAGCGGAAGCACTTTCAGCAAGCCTAAAACAGTCGATTGTTGATCTTATAGCGATCAAAACGCCGCCACCATCTTTTTTGCTTGACAGTGTAGACTCACGGTCCCGACGGAAAACGGTGTATTGAGCGCCAAATAATTCGCCATCATGAACTGAGCTATTCAAATAAGTTTCAGTGAGACAAACAAGGTCGAATTCAGAGTCACTAGTCTTCAAGAAGAGTGTGTTGGTCTTGGATCTTAAGCCGCGTACATTCTGGTAATAAACACTTAGTTCCATTAGTTTCCGTCGAGTCTTTCAAGATCAGATAGGGATTTAATTGGAACAGCCTTAGACTTATCGTCTTATCGTCTTGACATATATGCGGCTAAATCCGAATGTTACACAAGACTTAGATTCATACTTTCGTATTTTTGTCAATAACTATGCATTTGAGAGCAAGAGTGCAAGAGAGCAATATTGTAATGAATAAAATTTGCCACAACTATTGTTCTAAAAGTTTTCTTTTATAACATGCTCCGATTCCCGAGTGTTACCATTAACAACTGGTAAATCATTGAAATTCATAAAATTTTTTATTTTCGTATTTTTCTCGATATTTAAGCATCTCAGAGCAAAAGTGAAGGAAAGCGATATTGTTAAGAATAAAATTTGCTACAATTATTAATCTAAAAGTTCTTTTGTAATATGCTACAAAAAACGCATCCCATGCGAATGATCATACCCAGGGCGGATTTGTGCAAGATCCCTGATACAAATTCGGCTACGTACAGCTCTACTCACCATTCTGTATCGCCCACTTTGTTCATCACCATGTCATATGAAGTATTATGGCGACATTCCTTGGGCGTTGCAAACCCAATGCTAGAGTAGCAACAAGTTGTCTCATAACAAAGTAAGCCAAGATTTTTACGGAAATGCCAGTTTAAACAACTTGTGAACATAAACCTTACCATACAGGGTGATTCAAAAAACCGCTCATTTTTAGAGTAGATAAAACAAGAAAAATTAAGATGAATAGTCTTAATATACATGGGGTCGGAAATGCCTCGTTGGCGAGATATAGCGGATCAAAGTTTCTGCAATAAAAAGCACTTTTTTAAAAATATTGTTTACACCATTGCTCTCTACGCGTGTAAAGTGATCAACTATCTATCAATTGGTCTCTTACCAACTTTGATCAAAAACTGTTGCTTTAATCAAAGTTTTGTAAGAGACCAATTGATAGATAATTGATCACTTTACACGAAAATACTGCCCGTTTGACAAAATTAGCAGTGGAGTTGAAAATATTTTTAAAAAAGGGCTTATTTATTTTTATTGCAGATAATGTTTAATTTTAAAGAAACTTTGACTCGCCATATCTCGTGAAGGAGGCATTTGCGACCCCATGTATATTAAGACTTTTCATCTTAATCTTTGATGTATTACCTGCCCTAGAAGTCTGTCAGCGGCTTTTGAATCACCCTGTATAGTAATAATGTTGAATGGCTAGCATTACAAAATATCATCCAGATAACTACTTTGAAGTGATTCCAAGTCGTCATCCCCCCTCACACAAAATAATCGTTTGGTCAATTAAATTTTGAATAGCCACGTTGTTCAGATTACCTCCGGATTATTGTACTTAACCTGTTTAATATACCCACTAACAGGAACGATAGTCTCTCTTAATTTATAGGTACATAGTAGTCATACACACTCACACACGAACTAGTTTTCTCCTCGTCAACACCATCAACGAAGCCATATGCAGAATTCTCAACCCTCTCAATTGAGATTAATTCCGTTCTCGCTATTCCAACCTCTAGGGATTTATCACATATTCCCGAAAATTCAACCATCTAAGAAATACTTCGGAAATGAGTTCTCACTTGACTGAGTTTACGCCTTGGATTAGATACGATGAATCGAATCCTTATCTTCAATAATCGTCCACCGTTTATTTGTCTATAGTAGACAGCAGAAGGAGCAGGATTTATCATAAAGGTACCATCGGACTTTCAATTACCGTTTTACTAGCGATGACTTATGGGTGGTCAACACGAATTTATTCTCTTATCTTAACATCAATGAGTGCAAATTTGTCTATCAATGGTCTTTAATGTTGAAATGTTAATTTCTCTTGAGCGATGCTGTTTCCACTCTCCTCAAGTTTTTTATAACGCTCTAAATTTAATATTAAGTATTACTTAAAAGCAAAAATACTAAAATGATCTATAGGTACGATTTTGCTTTTCTCTAAAATTTAGGGGAGTAACAAGGCATTTCAAAAAAATATCTAATATTTNGGGGCAATCGAGCTCTTCACGCGGTGTGCAACGTCAACATCCGCGGCCGACAGTGGTAGGCCAATAGCGCTGCCGATAGTTTCAACAATCGTCGTTACGTTCTCGCTTGCCGCCTCAGGGACACCCAAAATTTCCAAATTAGAAAGACGGGAGTGCTGTTCTAAATCATTAACTCTCTGCCGATTCTCCTCACGAAGGGAATCAACCGCAGCGGAACGGGATTGTAGATCGCCGATTACCTTTTCATATTCTGTGAATCGATTGCAAAGCGTAGCGTATTTTTATTCAGTGCTTGCAACTGATAACCAAATTGACATATAACCAAAAGCGTATCTTGATTAGCCTGGGTTCCGTCGGGGACCGGCTCAAAATCCTCCGCCGCAATAATTGACGAGTTGCCCAAGTCGCGGCAACTGGGGCAGCGCCACGATGAACCGGGCAGCGTCAGAGTGGCAAGTGCCGCTGGTGGAACTTCGGCGCAGCGGGCGTGGATGCTTTTTTGGAAATGGCCTTGGATTTGTACGCAAAAATTTGTCAATGGAAAGACGGTCAGCAGAGCGCAACAATGGCTGATAGGCGTTAGTGCGCGGCGTTGTGGTAAAAAACAGAAAATCAAAACAAAGGGATCTGGGCGGGTCGTGAGAATTAATCACTGATGTAAGCGAAGATGAATTATAAATATTGTGAATTATTTTATATAAAAGTATTATATCATTAGCAAGTCGCCGCTGGCCAAGTCATAAAAAGTGGAAAGATTGGCACGCCGAGTCGTAGTCAACATAAGTAGTATGAGATTTCCAGGAATATATCATATTGTGAATTCCATACAACAGTGCAGTAATTCAAAGTGTTAAATACGTACAATAGAAAGTCATTAATGATCTCATGATGAATCCAAGTATAGAGACATGCTCACTGAATAATAGCTTACTCTCAAACGTCACGCCTAAATCCCTTATACATAGAAGTAACCCTGTTCAACAACATCCCTCCCATGAAGTAGTTAAAGCGTATAAGACCAGGCTTTTTTGTAAAAGTAATTGTAAATCATTTGCTATAATTTATGGTGATGATGTTTGTAAAACAATATTGAACAAGTTCATATAAATTTCGCTGAAGAGCAGAGCAGTCTCTAAGATTAGACACGCGGCAGAAAAGCTTTAGATTATCTGCATACATTAAACAGTTAGCGTGTTTAAAACACTTAAATATGTCGTTAATATAAATATTGAAAAGCGAAGGTCCAAGAATGCTTCCCTGAGGGACACCGTCTGCAAGGAAAAACCTCTAACTCTAACCGACTGCGTCATATTAGCCACATAGGAAGCAAGCCACTGTTGAATGTTGTAGTGTAAACCAACATGTTCAAATTTTTCTAGCAAGAGCAGATGATCAACTCTATCAAAGAAAACTTTATCAGTTTCGATCGCCGTATCAAGCTTTAACAACATCAGAGTCTTTTGCATGTTGAAGTTTTGTGGTTTTAGAGTGTTTCTTGTTGGTTTTTCAAGCTTTTATTTGCACCCGCGTGTGTGGTTTGATGTGGTGAGTTTAACTTGCTTGCCGGCGTTTGGTTGGTTCCTTGCGCTTTGTTTTATAACTTTTGCATTAATTTTGTTATCGTCGAGCTGTGCTAATCGGTCGCGCTGACCTTTGAACACGGGAACCGGTATCCCCGGTTAAGGTTTGCTTCAGCCGCTCTGCGTCTTCAGTGCGGCGGCTGCCGCGGCAACTTCCACACCAAATGCGTTAAAATTCCATCCGATACCCTCGTTCAAATCAAAGCGGGAGACGTCTTTTGAAAATGCTCCAAATACCAGAGTAACGTTGATAAATCCGTCAGTATCGAGGATGAAACATCTGATCTCTTGTCTTCCAGCGGCGCCAATAATGCTCAACTGTTTCAGGTCATGTCTTCTATACAGACTGAGGTGAAGAAATTATCACGCAAGTACGATGAAATCATTAAATTTATCTCATTCTATGGGGATTGTAGAGAAGGGTTGCCATTCTAACGTAATGTAAATGGAATGTAGCGGTTCTTTCTGATAAATTAAAGACAAAAAACAGGGTGTTGCCAAATTAGAAGAAAAAACATAAATTTCTTTTTACACCCCGTATATGGGTAAAACGTTGACAATTGTCAGAAACCATCAACACATTTCTTCCTTAAAAATCAACCTATATCGTGAAGAAAGAATCATTAAAATCCATCCGTTGATTCAAAAAAAAACCTTTAAACTTAATGCATAATTTAGGTGGTGCGATAATTTTGGAGAGTAGTGTATTTAAGAAATATATACTTAAATTTATTTAATTTCTTTACCTAAGAATATTTTTTACTTTGGAATTTTTGTACTAGAGAGAAGAAAATGTTATCTGTAAATGATCAATTTGCGTTTTGTAGATGCAAAAACAACCAACATTTTGGGAAAACACGCAAAAAAATTTAAAAATTTTTTTATTCCAAATGTGTATTACCTGAATTAGTACATCCTAGGTTTTCCAGGCCTCCACCTCATAATATAATTCGGAATACCGATCGAAGAGATTCACTTTAAAAGTGAAGAAAGATAAATAAGATAGTTGAAAGTAAGTTCGTTTTTTTTTATTTATAGATATAGTAGCCTATGTTCTCTTTTTCAGACTTTTTATTGACAAAGCTGCAATTATTGTTGCGCAAACTCCTTGAAGACATGATATCTTTGAGTCCTAGATCAAAAAGTGGACTCCTTATTAAGTAGACAAATAAAATTATCAAAAATTTTGTTCCTAGACCCAAGGGGAATACAATAAAATTGTACATACTTATATTACAATACATTGTTTCTTTTCTACTTTGATAAATAAATATCTTTACAAAACATATCATTTGTATTTCACTGTTCGGTTTTCTGGTTCACACTTATTCACTAAACCAACTCTCTATCAAACAGTTCCAATACGACAAAATTTTTTTAAATCAAGTGACGGTTATACAAGGTGTGTCAAATGTCTGGAATATAGCCAATAACTTCGCCATTTGTGGTTTTAAAGAATAATGTTTCAAATACAAGTTTCTTTATTAATTATGGTGCATTTTTTGGCGATATTTGCTTGTTTGTATTGTTTTTTGTTTCATTGCTATGGCAACCAACATTGTTATTTTAAATGGGATGCATATATTTTTTTTGCATACTTTGATCGAGGATACGTCCCTCTATGCGATGAACATATCAAATCATATGGTTGTATAAGAAAAAAATCGAGAAAAAATGCGTTTTTTGAGTCTTAAATCAGCTACATAATTACAATCAAAGTAGGCGCCTAAATAACGCAGTTCACAGCTTTAGATGTCAAAACTGACAGTTTAAGCAAATATGGCGCAATTAAGCGAACGACAAACAATCCAAATATTAATAATGTATGGGTACGATGATAGAAAACGCACTCAAAGTGCACTGTTCAATAATAGTTACCCGGATACACAAATTACACAATCCACAGTATACAAAATATAAAAACACCGGAAGTGTTAAAAACCTTTCAAAAAGTTGAAGGCCGAAGACAGTTACCACAGTTACCAATGACCATTATTAATACATACATTATTAATTATTGATAATAGGGCCGTTAACTATTTTTTTTTTATTGGCTCATTCGAAAGTTTTTTAAAATTGATTGACCCCATATTTTTTAATTTTTGATTCTGAGGCTTAGTTTTTCCAAAAAAAAATAATAAAGTTTGAAATTACAGGCCGCGAATTCAGTAGCGCGTCACTCAGATTTGAGCGTATGATTGGAGCGTATAAAAATCAATAAAATTCCTAGAGAGAGACAATGCTACGAATCTTATGCGCTGGAAGAAAACAGAAGAAAACGGGAGAGAAATCACGTCTGTGATTTCTTTCTTCTTACTTAAAACGTCACAATGAATCAGGGGTGGGGAATTTTAAACTTTTACATTAATTATTGCAAAAATTAAACAATTTTCGAACGTGAAAACTTTACTAATCCGTCTAATTTAATTTACATTATCGATTTTTTGAAAGACGGTCTTTCTAATCGATTGACGTTAACGGCCCTATTGTTGCAACTGTAATTTTTTTGACATTTAAAGCTGTCAACGGCTTTATTTCGGCGCCTACTTTGATTGTAATTAGCTGATTTAAGACTTTCAAAAAATGCATTTTTTTCTTATACATACTCGATTTTTTCTAATACAACCATATGATTTGATATGTTCATCAGGGACTTATCCTCTATAAAAGTATGCAAAAAAAATAAATGCATCCCATTTAAAATAACAATGTTGATTGCTATAGCAACGAAACAAAGAACAATGTAAAACAAGCAAGTATACTCAAAAAATGCGCCACAATTAATAAAGAATTTTTTATTTGAAACATTTCTCTTTAAAACCACAAATGACAATAAAATTATTAATGTAATGTTATTCATACATTATTACTATCTATTATACTATCTATATCTCCCGATTATTATCATTTTGTTATTTAAAAGAAATGGTAAAGCGAAACTCATTCTTTTTTTTCGAAACTCCAATTGATATACATAGAAACAAATGGAATGCTTTTAAGTAAATTTTACTTGCGGGAATAAAAATACTTCTTTTTGAAAACTGTTATTAAAAGTTGATTTTTGCGTAGTACTTAGCGACCGTCAAAACGATAGTTTTTTTGTCAACAGGACGTAAAAGTCTTTTGCGTCCTGGACGTAAAAGAACGTCCGTCTCGAACGATTTTTTTTGCTCGCTAAAGCTTGCAAAAAAAACTTTCGTTCTTGAATGCAAAAGTGTCATTTCGTTATCTTGTATCAAAAATAACTATTTCGGACACTCACTGGAAATTGCCTATATTTCCTTATTACAAATCGTAAAGAAAAGTACCTCATTTCTTTATAGCAACTATTTCTTTATAGCAACCAAATAAACAATTAATTATTTATTAGAATAAATATTAAACGTACAATTATTAAGGTTAGAGAAGCTTATACTTGATGTACACTGTTGTAATGTAAATCACCACATGTTAGTGACGATTTTGATAACACCTCCTGATGAATCACTACTTTATTTTTTTTATTTGGTTGCTGTAGTGAGGGAAACGGCAGAAACGATAATTTGATTCTCGAGCTCGTCGTGTACTTTTTAAATAATTTATAAAATGTAGGTAATTTATTTAAATTGAGTGTCCGAAAAAACTTCATGTATTATTCTTAAAGAAAAGTAACTTAAAAGTATAATTTCTTTACTTATAATACAAATAACTTTAATAACTTTTTAAGTTCCCTTCCAAACAGTAATGACGTTATATCTCCATCGACACGTAGTTTTAGATACAGCCCACTTGACCGTCCTTCGAGCTTCCTCCCCTCACACGGCGATGCCCCTCAGAAACTAAGACCGTGATTGAAGCCCCTTAAGGAATGGTGAGAAAGATAAAAATGTAGAAAAGAAAGGAAGTAATAAATAAATACATTATGTATATTAAAAGTATTGATAATTAAATTAGATGTTTATTATTCTTATTAGATATTATCCTAACACCTAGATTCTTGTTAAAAACCCAGCTGGATAGAAAACGGTTTGTTCAGGTCTCAGGTGTAAAGAGAATATAAAAGGAATGAATAAAAACTAATTAATTTTGACATGTTCTGTACATTTATTAAGTTGTCATGCTAGAAACAGTGTTTACGTCAAGGTTACTAAAATTGTATTTATCACAGAATCAGTGAACACCACTCTTCTAACTAACTAATAACCCGTAACTTAAAAGTTAAAGACATACCAAAAAATATGTGTTAAAACTACATATGCAAATTTTAATTCGGATCTCATTAACGTTTCGTACAACATTTTTTCATCAACAAATTGTTTTTTAAAAACGTAATTGATCTTTAATGAATAAATTAACAACTAAAAAAAAATAAAACAATATTTTCAATAATACTTTCTCGCCATTTTTTCTCTAAATGTTCGTATCGTTCAGTACAAATTTGATGATCACAGTCAATTATGTTTCCGTTTACTTTTTTGCCATCTAATTTTGCGACAACCTCTAATCGTTCAATAACTAAACAGAATTAAATAATTATAATTAACAAATAAAATGGTAATTAAAAGAAATCGGTATATATGTATCTTGCGAACATAAAATTATCAATCGTTACTGCTACCTAAATGACTTTACTATTTTGGTCAAGTGGTCGACAGCAGTCTGTAGGTTGATTCTCTCCTGATCGGAGAGGAATTTCTTCGAATGCAAATCGCGGTGTTTCCTCTCCAAATACTTCATCTCGTCCAATTTGACTTCCATCTCTCTCTTCAGCACGGCGCATCTGCTCCTCAACGTCCTGATCTCAACTGACCGTGCTGAAACCAGAGCATGCTATAGTTCTCCCCCCGTCGGCCACGTATTAACGAGAAATTGCGGACCGTCAGTTATGACTCTTACCATAAGCATGCTTGTGGTAGAGGTTCATAATATCTTGAACACCCGGCCATTCAACCAGAACATTCCGTTGATCAGTTTGAACGCTTCTCTCTTCACCCCTACTTTTATACAAAACCATTTTAACAGGCACGCACAAATTCTGACTGGAATTTCGTCTCAAATCGTTGTTGGGATTCACATTCTCAGCGAGAAGTGTTTTTGAGCCAATCACTTTTGGAATTTGAAGGTGTACGTCTTTGAATTCATTTATTCCATTTGGAGTCACAACAGGAAGCAATGGCGTTATTAGTATCGGCGTCGTGTGATTTTTTTTATTGTCTTGATGTTCGGTTTTTATTTCAGATTCGTCTTTTATATGATCATCTAGCTTTTCTACTATATTCTTATGCGATTCGTAACTGTAGTTTGTTATTTTTGATGTGCCGCTTCTTCTTACTCGTTCATCAATGATTTTCATCCAGTTTAATTCAATTTCTGAAATAGATTAAGTACTAATTGAATTTAATTAACTAATCAATTTATATGAATTGATTCAACTCAATTTGTGCTTTATTAGCTTTACCTTTGACATCATTTGGAGGTACAGTTTTTAATCCAAGGCAACTTAAAAAATTCCTCTTCTGTTGATAATCCTTGGTGGTGTTTAATTCGCAAGGTGATGAGGAAGGTATAGGCAGATTAAGTTTATTTTCGTTGTACGCTTTTTCTTCAGGATACAACCAGCCATGGTGCCATTTTCTTCTTTCCAATTTTGTCAATTCAAGAGCTATTCAATAAATTACAAATAATACAATTAAGAAGGTACAAAGAGATACAAGAGATAAATAAGAGTAAAAGACGTGAGGTTCAAACGGGTAGTGCATACGCAATAAACGACGAGAATTACAGTTATCGTCGTGGTGAACGCTAAAAACCTGAGCAACCCTGCGGAAGGCCGAAGCAAACAAACAAGTGGGAAGCAGGGTCAGGACTAAATAGGGGAGGGAGAACCCTCCAATAAGGATGTTGGGTTCAGGGCTAATAACCCAGTCCTGAAAAATCTTATCTAGTATGGATCCTTCAAGAAATATAATATGGACATCGCAATTGGAACACGGAATGTACGAATCCTTAACAAACTCGGAGTCCAACCCAACTCTCAATAACAGCGATACAAGAAACAAAGTGGCTAAGCGACGGCGTGAGTGACACAAAAAACAAACGGTCTTCTATAGTGGAAATGAACAAGGGAATTTGGAGTAGAGTTGATTATAAATTGCAAGATAAAGGCCAACATTATCGCCTTTAAGCAGTTAATGAGCGAATATGTAATAGTTATTTATATTACAAGTGGGCTAGAAACATAATTACAGTACGAGTGTGGAAATACTAAAAAATCAATTTCTTTAGAAAAGTGTATTTGACATTTATAAAAATATTTTGAAATGATTTTTGACAATTTTGAATTGTCAGTTTCAACATGTTTACTCGTCTGGAATAAGAGTTTTGAAATGTAAAAACATAACAATTAATGTTTATAATAAATAGTATTGTTTCTCTGTAAGTAGATAGCCCTTTTTGTTTTGTATTGTTGCTCGTTTCAATAAATTAAGTCTGTTCTGATTAGGCTAAAAATGCGTTACGTAATGAAACCAGTGCGGTAATGAACTCATTACGTAACTTAAATCACCTCAAATGAGTGCGGTAATGATGACTTATCCAAGCTGTCGTAGATAAAATAATATGATGTATCAATAATAAATGTTCATGTTCAGTGAGTTTTAAAGCTTTAAAACAGAAATACTTCCCAAGTATAAGGAAAGTTGCTGAAATAATAATGATACCAAAACCTGGTAAACACTCCACAGATGTTACATCGTATAGGCTAATCTCATTATTACCCTTACTATCAAAATTCCAAAGTCCTCCAGGTGACCCTAGATACCATTTGAGCTTGGTGTAAGGGAGAGAACCTCTCGATAAATCCGCAAAAGACAATTGTTGTGCCCTTCACCAGGAAACGAAAGTTGGATGGACTAATCTGCCCAAGGTGAAGAAATTCCTTTCTCAAAGGAAGTCAAATATCTAGGAGCAATCCTAGATTAAACCTTGTCATGGAATGGACATTTGCAGGGAATTTTGCACAAAGCTAGACTATCCTTGTGGACTTGTCGCAGTCTTTGTGGAAAAAATTGGCGTCTTACCCCTGAAAGACTGTACTGGCTCTATGTGACTGTGGTTAGACCTATGATTACATACGGAGCAGCGATCTGGTATAGGAAAGTTCGACAAACTTCAATTATCAGTAAACTTTCATGAATGCAACGGGTAGCTAGAGTGGCAATATCTGGTGCGATAAGCACAACGCCAACTCTAGCAATGGAGGTTCTGCTTGGCCTATCTCCTCTGCATTTGCATATAGAGAAAGTGGCTAGAACAACCATTTACAGATTTAAGCAATATCCTCAAAACTGTTCCGACATGTCCTATCAATGGGCTGCGGAAGACATTATAAGCGCTGATACTGTGCTATCAATGCCGTCAGATTTGGCGGGATCACTATCAGTGATTAATATTCGATACCAGATTGTGCTGCTTGAGCGGCAGTCCTCGATCGAAAATAAAAATTCTCTGGTTCAGGCAGATATTTGCATGTTCACAGATGGATCAAAAACGCCTGAAGGGGTCGGAGCAGGAGTATACTGCCAGACACCTCGAATTAATCAAGCCTACAGCCTGGGTGGAGTTAAAATGATAATGATTTATGTAAAAATTTTAGGTCTAATGCTATAAATGGCTAAGATATGGGTTTTCGAAGTTAAGAAATTTTTAAACATTTTCCTAAATATTTTTAATATGCTTTGTCTTAGGTCCGGTTGTACAATATACCAATAACTTCCCAACAACGTTATCTGGCGAATAAGTTAGTTTGAACTGTATTACAATGTACGGATATTTTTGTCGGTGAGATTATCGGCAGGATAACTTATCGGGTACTCAGCGGTGCCGATAAGACAGTTATTTCCAAGATATTTATGGTTACCAAGGTTTTTATATAAAATCTTTGTATGGTTACTGCATAGGTTAACCTAAAACATTAACCGTTAACCCTATTCGCACGTTGTGTCAGTTGTCTGTCGTGAAAAAATTTTTTAAACAATTGTTATTATTGTCAAAATCCTAATTCAAACTTCAAAGAAAGACGACAGTCCAAGGTACTCTCGTACGTCATCACAGGGTCATAGCTTAGCAACAACTATTGTCTACTATTGTAAGTGTAGGTTTGTTTACAATGGCTATGACGCGGTTATGACGTGCGAGGGCCAATTCGTTCGCCATATGAGCATACCTTATGTTTATCTACCTTGCGACAGTCTACAGGCAATCTACGATACAAATCACTAGATATGGGACAAAACTATTACCAACCGACCCTTATTTCGCCAATAGCAATCCTACCGACAAAAACAGTTTGTATATCAGCGATTGTCTTTATCCTGCCGATAAGTTTATCGGCCGGATAGTTATCCGGTATGTTGTACAACCGGCTCTTGGAAAGACTAAATTTGGCAATCAGTACAATGTTATCTTAAGAAATCGTTTCACTTTTAGAAATTTTTGAGTAGACGCATCGTTTTCGAGTTATTCGCAAAAAGATTCAACCCGATTTTGAAATGTTGAAAACAAATTGTAAGTAATGCAACCTGTGAAATTATTACCCAACATAGTCGCTAATAGTTATAAAATGGCGAATAATTACAGTTTTAGTGAGCAAACAGACATGATTTTAATGTTGGGAGAGTGAATGCTAACGCAGCGGCGACACGATATTGAAAAATTTCCCAATCACAGACAATCTGATAGTAAAACTTTTCTAGATACCGAAAGACGTTTACGTGAGACAAAAAATTTAAGATATAAATATGCAAATAACGGGAATCAGAGGTCAGTTTGTACACCCGAACTAGAAAATTTGTTAGTACTGTTGATATCAATAGTTCAGACATTTCGGAAAGTCCAAAAGTACAGCATATCGTATCGCGTTCTACACGAACAGCAGTTGTATCCATACCACTTGTCGACAGTACAAGATTAAAAATTGTTTATCATCCGATACGAGTACAGTTTTTCCATACTATGATGGAAAAATGTACTGTACTCTATTTTTTAATTCGGAGGAGTAAAATGAAAAGTCACGTTTACATAGTGTAATTTTTCAAAGCTATTTTTTGGCGGGAGTTTTAAAACCAGAGAGGATTTTAAGTAAACTGTAGTTACGAATTTAATTACTTCTCCCACATAAAATGTAACATGTCAATATAATTTGATATTACACTAAAACCTTCATATAACAGATTAATACGGGGAAGACAGTGTCCGTTATAGCTCAATAAAAATATACAATAATCTTACTGCTGAATAACAAATAAAACTAGACTAATACTAGCACTACAACTAACCTAGAATTAGAAACATTCCGCTTAGCTGTATCTCCCTTAAGACGGCTGGTAGGTGGCAGGTAGCGCTAGTTAGCATATTTTATTGAACTAAAACTAACACTAGAACTAGAAAGTATCAGATTTAGCCGTGCGTCTGATAAAACTTCTGAAACGTCTGAAAGTTTCTAGGTCTTGTGTTAGTTCTAGTTTTACACTAGCACTATCACAAGAACTAACACAAGACCTAGAACTAGAATCATTCGGATTTAACCGTCTTGAAAGACGTGCGGCTAAATCCGAGTGTTTCTAGTTCTCGGTCTAGTGTTAGTTCTAGTTTTACAGTATCACTAGAACTAACACAAGACCTAGAACTAGAATCATTCGGGTTTAGCCGTCTTGAGAGACGTGCGGCTAAATCCGAATGTTTCTAGTTCTCGGTCTAGTGTTAGTTCTAGTTTTACACTAGCGCTATCATTAGAACTAATGCAAAACCTAAAACTAGAATCATTCAGGTTTAGCCGTTTTGAGAGATGTGCCGGTAAACCCGAATATTTCTAGTTATCGGTCTAGTGTTAGTTCTAGTTTTACACTAGCACTATCTCAAAAACTAACACAAGACCTAGAACTAGAATCATTTGGGTTTAGCCGTCTTGAGAGACGTGCGGCTAAATCCGAATGTTTCTAGTTTTCGGTCTAGTGTTAGTTCTAGTTTTACACTAGCACTATCTCAAGAACTAACACTGGAACTAGAATCATTCGGGTTTAGCCGTCTTGAAAGACGTGCGGCTAAATCCGAATGTTTCTAGGCGACCGGCAACATCTTGAATTTTCCTAGTGTAATTTTTGCTTAGAACTAACCAATAGCAACCATTCTTTTTGGCGCTTCAATTTGAAACCACTCATCCGAATTAAAAATAGAGTATAGTGATGCTGCGTTTTTAGAAAAAATACTTTTTACAGATGACCATTAATTTGAGAAATGCTCATAATAGACAACCTAAACCTTGACGTCACAGAGATGGGCGAAGCTTAAATAACCATAAATATGCAATTTTTTTTCTATTAGTGTTAAAATAAAACAAACTAAGTGACTTTTTAAATGACACTTCAAATGACATTTTTTTGGCGGTTTATCGTTAACTGTGGTTCGCAATGAAATTGTTTGGAGTCGGTATAAACTCCGCCCAGCACTGTGACGTTAGACTTACGCAGTCTATTGAACTTAAGAAAATCCAGATTTTTAGAATTGGAACAGACACCTAATTGAAAAGCAACAACCAGAAACAACCTGACTATTGACCCTCCTGACTAATGAGAGCAACGAATGGACGGACAAGCTGGCCAAAGAGGCAGCTTTGCTTAAATAGCTTACTGGACCCAAACCCGGCTGTGAACTACAAAAAAAAACACTTAAAACAAGTAATCAATACATTGGAGATCTCAAATATAGCCTTGCGCTATGACACAAACAGGTAGAGAGTATGATAACTTCATCGCAAAAGAACACCAAAAAGGTTTTCTGCCTTAGCAAAAGAGACCTAAGGTCACTATCGGGTTTCCTGACCGGCCATACGCCCCTAAAATACAATCTCTTTAACATTGGACAAGCTGAGGATCAAACTTGTCGACTTTGCAACGACCGCTTAAGACACAAAATTTTCGGAAAGGTTCGCCTGACACCTAATAACATAAAAGAAGAAGATCTTGGAGCAATATTAAGGTTCATCAAGGACCTAGACTTGACCTAAACGTTTGGAGGGCTTAAGTTACAATAGATCTCATAGGTCGCTCCCCTCAGCCCGGCAGCAATAATAATAATAATAATGAACCCTTCCACACTGAAAAGAAATCGAAGCAGCAACGTAGGCTCCGGAAATTAATGAAGCCAGCTGAAATTAATAAGTATGGCGGACGTCCACTATCCATATAGCTACACTCATTAATCGTAAAAATATGGAAAAAGTGATCCCAGACGAATGGAAAAATGACATATAATGTCCAATACATAAACGGTCAACAAATTATGCTATGGATACAGATGAGGAGAGAAAAGGACGACCGAAGAACCTGGGAGGTTATAATAGGGAAGATTCTTAAAAAAGGGTCAAATCATAAACAGAAGCCAAAGAACTGGCGATGGACGATGACGAATATGTTGACACTTACAATTTTTTGCTTCATACGTAGTTAAACCAAAAATTTCCAAAAATTCCAACTTTTCAGGTGTTCTATCAACGATTGGTCGTGGTCCGCTTCTAATTTCAAGGTCAACATCTGGAGTGTCGCTTTCAAAGTCAGAGGTGGAATAAATACTCGAACACGAACTATCCGAATAGCTGTATACTTTAACTCCAAAATCAGTCATGACGCATTTACTCTGATCGACGCCGGAATCAATATTTTCTTTATTCACTTTCACTTTGTTTCCATCCCGTCTGAGTCTTTTCTCTTTCCTCTTCATGGTGTTTCTATCCAATTTGCTTAGTTTCGGTCGTTTAATTGGTGGTTGTAAATGTAAATTTGGTACATTCAAAACCGTTCGTGAGTTTTTATCGAAATATCGAATGATATTATTATTTTTTTGATGTTGTTGTTCAACATTCTCGTTTTGCTTTCTATCCACGACTTGATTATGGAGATGTTTTACGTCTTCTAAGATTATCAGACTGTTATTTTTCCTAGTATTCTCAATAATCACAGATATGTTATTGTTATTGGGCGTTTTTTGTTGTTGCTCAATGTTGTCGAACAGTATTGTATAAGAAGACTTGTTGATACTATCTTGGTGGACGAACTTGTCTTGGTGGTCGGTGTTTAACATCTTTTCAATGTCAAAATTGTGTTCGTTTGGTAAGACGATGGACTCGGGCGCGCCGTTGCAAACTTGACTAGGTACATGAGGTGTGTTTAGGTAATTATTATTTACTATAGGAACATTTGTTTCGCCCTCCATCTTGTACGACAGGTCCGTTTGAGACAATCGACTTTGCACAGGATAATTGGGTGACGGTAGTGGTAACTGTGGACTATGCGTTTGGGTGTGTTGCGACATTGCGTTCATTGGCGTGAATGCATGTTTCACTTCGGCGTTCGAATTTGCCAATTTATCTACGACGTTCTCGTTCACCGATTTTATACTTTCGATTATCTTTGAATTGTCGATGTTGTTTTTAATAACATCATTCGAATTCGTTAACGAATCCAAGACGCTTTTATTTACTAATTTGATGTTCTGCAAGATTTTGACTCGATCAATTTCACCGTCAAAGTCCTCGTCCGGCGATTTCTTCGTATTGTCTTCGTGATTATTATATGATTGTTCGAGAGTTCTCGTTTTTTCAGTTATTATATTTACAATGTTTATACACGTATCGTTAATATTATTATTTTTATTATTAGTAGAAGCACTTTCTACCGCACTAACAATATGTTTTACTGGCACGTTATGAAATAATTTATTATTAACATCTTTCTTGTTATCGACGGCGCTACTAGGCGCGAGCAGCTGATAGTTAGGAACGATTACTGTTGGAGTCGCTTCTTTTTCGGAAATGTTGGTCTTCTTCTTGTTGGTCGATTCGTACTCTTGTTGATCTTTTAAGCAACCGCCACTACGAAAGTTCGGACTGACGATATCCTCGATGTTGAAACGCTTGACGGCCGTTGTTTGAGGCTCCGATTTCGTTGGCAACGGGCAAGTGTGTTTTGGGGTGGTTTCGCTGCAATTTGTTGTCGCTGAAATATTTTGGGATGAGGTATTCGCTGCTATGGGAGGCTTCCTGGCTGAAACAAAGACAAACGCTCATGCTAACATTTCTTTACAAGTTATTTGAGAATCTATACTCTATTAATATTTTTATTCACACATGTATTAAACACTAATTTTCTTAAGGTATTGTAGAAGCAATAAGCAAAATAAAGCATAAAACACAATGTCCTTAAATTACCTCAACAAACTTCTATAATTTCTTCTTTGCAATTGAACATGAAACATGAATTTTTCCTATCAAACACCTTCAACGACAACACAATAAAGCAAGAAGCAAAAAAATAGTTTTACCTCTAATAATAAAAATCTGTTCGTATATTTTTAGGACATGTATTTAAGTGCTAGAATATTCAAACACAAATTAACACGTTCGTTGCTGGCTATGACTACTATCGGTGTCAAAAGTCAAGGCCCCTCACTTTAGAGATCGATATCTTCGCAACCGCTCGATAAAAAAAATTGCGACAAAGTTTGTTGTAATCACTGAACATTTCTACATAACATATATTATTTTGAAAAATTTCGAATCCGCGGTTTTCTTTTTATCGCGAGTTAAATGAAAAAAGTAGGGTGGTAGTCTGATGTGTTCTTAATAAGGGGCATATTTTATTTTTACGAATATTCCATGAAGTTTCGCGATTTAGTTTGACGCCGTTATATCGAAAACGGCTAGGTGGGTTTTAACGCGGTTTTAACCAAAATATGTCAAATAATTGCGTTTGTCAGATATTGTTATCAGTTTTTCAAAGTTATGTCTCTCTAATCTCTAAGCCATGCGGGGAGACGAGGGTTTTGTCCAATCGGAAAAGATGGTCTTGGTGTGTGTTACTGAGACAGGACGACGCGCCTTATTTCTTTATGTAGGTAAGATAAAGGCGCGACGTACTGTCTGGAACGCACAGTCTTTTCCGATTGGACGGAACCCCGATGGACGTTAAAGACGACGAATTGTCACCGATCGAAGACGAATCTGTCGTAATTTAGACTAGATAAAGTTATTATGATTAAATATTATTATTATACAGGGTGTATCTAAATTGATGCGAAAGATTTTAAGGGAGGATTTTTTAACGAAAATTAAGGGGGTCTTTCGTATAACTTTTTGGTCAAAACTAGAGCTCGGAATTTTACAAATTTAAATATTCGAATAGTCGTATAATTTTCGATTCGAATAGTCGAATAATTCGAATATTTATTAATATTCGACTAGTGGAATAGTTGTCGACTAGTCAAATAGTCGTCAACTAGTCGAATCGTTGAATTTTTCAAATATTCGGATAATTTGATTAACAAAACGTATACTATTATTTTTTCTGAATTTTAGGAGAAATAAATAAACAATTAAGAATATGTTTTTCCTCGTTAAGAAAAATACCTATACCTATTAATATATTAAACGTGAATGACAACATTAACGTACTACAATACAAAAAGTTGATTTAAGCAAGCTCTATAAGTAAATATTTTCTGTATAAACAAAATAAGATGACATTAAAAAAAAATAATGGATCAAAAAATTGTATCAAATGAAGTAAATTATTATTTTTTTAACGAATGTTCAAATAGTCGACTATTATTAGAATAGTCGACTATTCAAATATTCGACTTTTCGGCTAATAAATTATGAAAATTATTCGAATAATTCGGATAGTGGAATAATCGAATATTCGAAATTCGAGCCGACGATTCCGAGCCCTAGTTAAAACTACTTCAAGTTACAACCCTCTAAAATTAGGGGAAAAATTGTTTTTCTTTAATAAATCCACTATGGAGGAATTTGGAAGGATGAAATTTGGCAGATAACTATTAATAAGGTGACATTGGTGACTTTGCATCAGAACTTTTTAATGCGTCTACATTTTTCTATTTAAAAAATTACTTTTAAATAGAGGGATTCAATACGCAACTTTTTTGTCTCTTAGCATTTTTTCCTAAAATCCTATTGACATAAACTCAGAGATTGGTAATTACTTGTTTAAAAATATTTTCATTGATGTGACTTTGTCCGTATTATTTTCGCAAACTAAAACAATTATAATTAGAATATTGGTAATCCATTATCACTTTATATATACAGGGTGTATCTGAATGACATGCCCAAACTTCAGGGGGTGATTCTTTAGGCAATTTTAAGGGTACTTTGATAGATAAACCATGGGCGACTTGGGCTCCCCTAAGGAGCTACACCCCTCCAAAAATGGCGGAAAATTTTGGTTTAATTTTTTTTTCTCAAAAACCATTAACGCTAGGACAACGAAATTTGGGGAATATGTTTAACTGGTAGTAGGGCACGTTTTCACCCTATTTGGACTTTCAACCTATCCTTCTAAACTACTAAACGTAACCACCCCCTTTACATTTTTGCTAAAATTTTTTAATGCAGAGGGTAAATACATTAAAAAAAATATTACATAGGATGAAATAGGCTCGAAACATGCCCTATTATAAGCTAAACATATTTCCCAAATTTCATTTTCTTGGTGTTAATGGTTTTCGGGAAAAATAAAATAAATCAACATATTTCGCCATTTTTGAAGGGGCGTAGCTCCGCAGGGGAGTCGAAATCGCTGATAGTTTATATGAGAAAGTACCCTTAAAATTGCAGAATAAAGAATCACCCCCTGAAGTTTGGGCACGTCATTCAGATACACCTGTATATATATTATTTATCAAAGAAAGACTTTATACTCATTAGGTTGTGTTGTGGCGTGGGCAACGTTTAATTTTGTTTTATAGTGCTTACAATTTGTTTATTAATGTTTCATTTTGGTTCACTGACTTGCATCCTTCTGATGATGATTGTATAATCGAAATCGATTAAGGACATGAATATAAAAATATCACTGAGTATAAAGTCTTTCTTTGATAAATAATATATATATAAAACAATTATTGCTTAAGTAATAACACAATGGCAAACTACACAAATGCCGAAATGGCAGACATGCATTTTGTGTATAGTTGTGCTAATGGAAATAGGTTAGAAGCTCGAAGGCTTTACGCTGAGTTATATCCAGAACGTACACTACCTTTTTCAAGGACATTTTTCAAGAAGAATTGTCGATTGCGGACTTTCATGAAAAGTACGTAATGTAGCACTAGAGAAAGAAGTTCTTAATTTAATTGAGAACTCTCCCGGAACCAGTACAAGAAAAACTGCTCAACAAGTAAACGTAAGTCATTCTAGAGTGTTTAGGGTTTTAAAAAGACAACTTTTGAATCCTTAAAATAATTAATCGATATTTAAATATGGTTTTATTGAGGTGGGATTGTTATGACTCGTAATTTTTATGAGCTCTTGTTCTTGAATACCATTTTTGGCCAATTGACTAACAGCAATCGATCTATTAGAGTGATTGGTAATTTTCTTTTCCTTTATATTCAAGCCAATCGCTTTATCAGACGATTTTGTCCAATTTTGAATCATGTTTTTCCCAATCGGCATATTATCATACCAGTAATCATTTTCTGCCTTCCAGTGACGATTTGGTCTTAAAAACAGTCTGTTGGTTTTAACATTTGGACCCCTTTTTGACATTAATTTTTTAAATAATCTGACAGGACAGACGTTGCTCTCGCTGTTTTCTATTAAAAATTTGCTTTTTGTACATATTTTCGAACCACCTTGACATGTCTTACTGAAAACAGGGTTATATTCAACCCGGTTTGTTTCAAAACCATCGTTATTTGTTTCGATATAAAAAAAGTCAGTCATGCAAGCAGCAGCTTCTCCACCTCGCCAAGTTAATTCTACCGCGGCGATGTGATAGAATTTCCATTGCAGTCCGTCAGGGGAGTTTTCATCCCATAAATTTACAATTTTGGTTATTTCGTCTGAACTTAATGCTGTTGAACTTTGTTTTCTCTTACAGGGATCCGATTGCAGTTTACGCTGTATGGAATCCCGAGCAGCTCGCGCTTTTGAAATACAACACTTTTGAACGGATTAATTATGATTTTATAACTTTTATAATATTTTTCTTGTAAAAGTTTACTCGTCACGTTCCACAGGGTTTTGACCGTAGTTTCTTTAAGCTTTGTACCATCTTTTTTTCTCATATTTACAGCCCAATCCTTTAAAATCAACGCTAGTTTCTTCCATCGTGCGGTTTCCATCTAATTCATATTTTCTGACGTTACAAAAGTCCATAAATGTCCACAAATTTTTTACTAATAACAGTGTTTTTTGGTATAGTTGCTTCAATAATTGTATAATTGTAAATTTGTGGCTTGGTGTCATTGACAATTATTTAATTGGACCATATTTTCTTCCAATGAGATTAAATGGAGACGCATACTGTAATTTCCTCAAAGAGGAGTTGTCCCTGCTTGTTGATGACGTTTCGATAGAAATCAGGCGAGAATTATGGTACATGCATGATATAGCGCCAGCTCATTTTAGTATTAACACTCGTCGCTACTTAGACGAAGTTTATACAAATCGTTGGATAGGCCGCGGTGGTTCTCAGAATTGGCCAGCCAGATCTCCGAAATTAAATCCATTAGATTTCTGTCTTTGGGGTTTTCTTAAAACCCTGGTTTATTCAACTCCTGTTGAAAATATCAATGATTTACGGAATCGTATCATCGCATCATGTGAAACTATTAGGAATACACCAGGAATATTTGAAAGAATACGAAATTCAATGAGACGAAGGGTAGAATCGTGCGTCGCTGCTGAGGGGCGGCATTTTCAACATTTATTATGATTATTAATATTTTGTTATATTATTTGTTTTTGTAGTTTTGTTAATTGTTATTGTTAAGTCTGTGTATTATTCTTTATTTATTTTTTCTTTTTGATTAAATTAACAATTTTGGGAGAAACTGTACTTAATATTTAAAAATTTGTCATTATGACATTAGCCTACTTGATATTTTTACATAAATAATAACCATACTGTGAATTTGTGTCAAATAGGTGTGAGTACTATTTAATTTTTTTATGCACAAACTAACAATTTTAGGAGAAAATGTTAAGAGACAAAAAAGTTGCATATTGAATCCCTATTTAAATTAATTTTTTGAATAGAAAAATGTAGACGCATTAAAAAGTTCTGATGCGAACATATTAGGGTTATAAAAATCGTCAAAAAAAATGTCACCTTATTAGTAATAATAAAAGTGGAGAGAAATAAATGTCGTAGTTTAACGATGATATCATTATTATTATTTTTTGGTTTCTGCCGGTTTCGGCTTGACGCTATCCTCAGGAAACCACGTTATATGATTTCTTTTCTATTCTTAAACATAACATTTGGTTTCTCGATTCTTTTTTAAGTTAAATGTATTTGTTTAACGTTCAAATCACTAAAAATTAAATTTTATGTAAATCCATGTTGTTCTTCATTCGCGCCTAAAAACTGCTCCTGAGCATGGCGTCAAGCCGAAACCGGTAGAAACCAAAAAATAGTAATAAAGATATCATCGTTAAAAAAGTACGACATTTATTTCTCTCCACTTTTATTAAACACACGATGATAAAAAAGGAATCAAACAAACATAAACATTATTAGTAATAGTTATCTGCCAAATTTCATCCTTCCAAATTCCTCCATAGTGGATTTATTAAAGAAAAACAATTTTTCCCCTAATTTTAGAGGGCTGTACAGGGTGTCCCAATTTCGATGTCCGCATAGGCTATCTCCGAAACTAAAAGAGATAGAAAAAAAGTAGCTTACATGTCATGATCTCGTTTTTCGAGAAAATGCTAATGCCGAAAACTCCGAACAGCTATCGTCTTTTGTTTTCGCCCTATCGGCAAAAACTGAAAATTTTGCGAAAACGACAATCGCGAATATCTCACTTATTATCAAAGATGGAGTATTATAAATAAAACATTATATGGGCAACTTTTTACGAAGAATTCAGTGGCGTAGGTAGAATTTTTTTCCCATCTTTTATTTTCGAGATTTTAGACGTAACTTTATTTTTTTAAATGGAAACCATAGTTGGCTATGACTTAAAATAATTTGTTATTTTCTTCTGATAACAAATATATATAGTTTGTGGGGTATATTTCTTATAGTTATTGAATAATTAACAAAAATTCATTTTGTTCCATCTAAATCTAATGTATGTATTTAAAAGTTAATGTTGCTATGGTGATAACCATACATACTATGATGGAATATAATGTATCAATTTTTTTTGTTCTTTCTAAAACTATTGTATGTATTTAAAACTTAATGTTGTTATGGTGATAACCATACCATGAGGGAAAGCATTGTTTCCAATTATTGCCAAAGTTTGTAGCAAGGACAGTAGAATCTAACAGGACTGCTACATCCATTGTATTTTTGTAGTCGACTACGGGTTGGTTGCCCGCACTCTACGTCACACTATTTGCCACGCCTGATAACTGTCTATGTTTTTAGAGGTTATATGATAGACATTAATACGTCTAAAAACATAAAACTTCAAAACTAATATGAATACGTCTAGGATATAACCTCTAAAAACACACAGCAAACGCATAGACCATAACAACAGCTGGGCGTGGAAAATGGTGTGACGTAGTTTGCGGGTAGGCTGTCACAACAATGGATGTAGCAGTCCTGTTAGATTCTACTGTCCTTGAGTTTGTAGTAGTATTTAAAAATTCACTAACAACTCTGGCATTATGTGCTGGTGCTCCGTCATATTGAAAATATATCATTTGAGACATATTTAGTGGCAAATTGTCGACCAAAGGCTCAATGTGCTGCCTTAATATATTGAGGTATTTCCCTGAGTTTAAGTTTTTATGGTAGATACTATATGCCAAAATTCTATTATCTAAAAGGGCACACCATACATTGAACCCCAATCTTCTTTGAACACTCAGAGACTTCATCGGTCCAGATAACATTTTGAACAAACAGCAGATTATTTAATTTTTTTAAATATCATCTACAAAATTCTAATCTTCGATTGACATCTCCGGCACGTAAATAATGAGTTAGCCCCGCTTTGTATGGTTTATACTTATTTTTCTTTCATATTCGGGAGCAGCGGCTTTTGGGTCAGACGTCTTGTTGCAATTTCTCTTGCAGGTCATTTTGGTATGTTTTTGTATGTGGTTTGGGGAAGGACCAAATATCTATTAAATTTTCTGCTAACCGGCTGAAGGTTCTTACGTGCGGTTGTCTTCTTTCTGGATATCTTGTGAAATAAAATTCCGCGGCTAACGTCGCATTCTTATCTGATAACATATAGCATTCCATCATGTTACATTTTTCATAATTTTCGAAATTCATTGTAAAGTTTTATTCAGTTTTGTTATACTTTGACACTTAACATGCTGGTGCATCGTACCAGCACATAATGCCAGAGTTGTTATCGAATTTTTAAATACAAACTTTGGCAATTATTTGATACATTATGTTCCATCATAGTATGTATGGTTATCACCATAGCAACATTAACTTTTAAATACATACATTAGTTTTAGATAGAACAAAATGAATTTTTGTTAATTATTCAATAACTATAAGAAATATACCCCACAAACTATATATATTTGTTATCAGAAGAAAATAACAAATTATTTTAGGTCATAGCCAACTATGGTTTCCATTTAAAAAAATAAAGTTACGTCTAAAATCTCGAAAATAAAAGATGGGAAAAAAATTCTACCTACGCCACTGAATTCTTCGTAAAAAGTTGCCCATATAATGTTTTATTTATAATACTCCATCTTTGATAATAAGTGAGATATTCGCTATTGTCGTTTTCGCATAATTTTCAGTTTTTGCCGATAGGACGAAAACAAAAGACGATAGCTGTTCGGAGTTTTCGGCATTAGCATTTTCTCGAAAAACGAGATCATGACATGTAAGCTACTTTTTTTCTATCTCTTTTAGTTTCGGAGATAGCCTATGTGGACATCGAAATTGGGACACCCTGTACCTTGGAGAAGAAGTGGTTTTGAATTTTCGCTGAAAAATCACCCCTTAAAATCTTTCGCATCAATTTAGATACTCCTGTATATTCGCTATTTTGTTCCATTCGATACTCTTCTGTGGTGTCTGAATCCAATTGTTGGTTATTATTTTGACGTCGTCCGTCCAGCGAATAGGCGGTCTTTCTCTACTTCGTTTATCCGCTCAAGCAACTGTTTTGTCCACTGCTCATTCTTCATTCGCGCGATATGTCCCTCAGAGTTTCACCCAGCATCGACCTCTCAATCTTTCTTTGCGTTATTTTGAGCCTCCTGGCTGTGGCACAGTTAATGTTAAAGTTTCGGAGCATTGAAGATGTCTCTAAGTTTGCGTAAGCTGCCCACGCGAGTGTGATACTTCTGTTTAGTTCGCTTTTTTGATTATTTTTCGATACCCGATCCTCGTGGCCAAGATATACATAGCTGGCAACCCTCGCAATTTCGTTATCACCAATGCTGATGTTAGAGCTGGGAACAAGATTTGTCATAAATTTTGATTTCTCCATGTTGATATTTAGCTCTCTGACTCTTGCACACACCTCTTGTAAGTCGTTCAGCATCAATTTCATCTCTCCAAGGCTATCCGAAATAAGGACTATATCGGCCGCGCTGCGAAAATTTTATAAATACCCTCTTGGGTAAATACCCCCGGGTATATATCCAGGGAATTTTCCCTTAAAAATAAATACCCTTGAAAAAATGATAACAGTATCTGATAAACGCAATTATTTGACATATTTTGGTCAAACCTTCGAGGAAACCCACCCAGCCGTTTTCGAAATAACGGCGCCGGAGAAAAACCGCGATTTTCCGCGAAACTATACGGAATATCACAAAAATATGCTACTCATTAAGAACACATCAGGCTACCACAAATTGTAGTTAGTTCAAAATTGAAATTTTTTCGTCACAGTTTTTGAGAAAAAAAATCGCAAAGTGGACAAAATTGTCAGCACCGTAAAAAATCGGGTACTTTTTTCATTTATCTCGCGATAAAAAGAAAACCGCAGATCCGAAAATTTTCAAATTTACATATATTGGTTATGTAGAAATGTTCAGCAATTATAACAAATTTTTCCGCAATTTTTCTTATCGAGCGATTGCGAAGATGTCGATCTCTAAAGTGAGGGGCCTTGACTTTTGGCACCGATAGTAGTGTTGTGTCAAAGCGCGACAACAAAATAAATTTTTTTTTTTCAACAAAAAACAGGTTATTAAGTTCACCACCAAAAATAAATAAAGAAATAAACCAACAAAAACCACGAATTAATTACCGAAACATAAGTTGGGGAAATTGACAAAACGACAAGCATGGCAGGGGTCAGGCACTGTCTCCGTTGTCGCGAATCCCCTCACCTGCGCTTGCCACGTAGGAGGCTTCCTCCGAGGCAGGTTTGGTACTCAGATTCTTTGGCACCTGTCCGCCGCCGCCACCTCCAAGATCCGAGTTTGTCGCGCTCGGAACGGAAGTCTTAATCTGTTTTGGAGTGGGAGGCCTAGGAGAGATCCTGCTCGGTTGATTAGACGTTTGAAGGTTATTCATCATGGGAAACGAAGACTGAATAACTGGCGAGTGCCTCTGAGGTTGCGAAAGGTTTAATGTGTAAGGCGTTGGCAGACTTATGCTTGTATGTGGGGAGTGTCTTTGAAGTGATGGACTGGACCTAGGAATTGGATATGGTTGAGTTGAGATTGGACCTGGAGGTAAAAGACCTGTACTTAATGGAGATTGCCTTGTCGAAAGACTTAAAGGGGCCGGATAAAGGTCTTTCGGGGGTAGCATTCCACCATGAAGCATAGAAAGCATTAACGGTGGTTGCGCGGTTAAGTGGGAGGGAGGAACATGAGGGGATACCCTTGATTGCACTTTCTCCCTTTCTCTTTGTATTCGCTCTTTTTCGCGTTGCTCCCGCTCTCGTTGTTGGTGTAACAATTCTAAGTGGTCCCTTTCAATTTGCTCCTCTTTTCGCGTTAAGCGATGTCTGTGTTCTTCTTCGAGTTTCATTCTACAATTCATTAAATAATTATAATTGTAAACATTCAATTTCTTATTACCTTTCATGCATATACAGTGATGGCATTCCCGTTGGAGGAGTGATATAAGGTAAATATGTTGGTCCTAAAGGACCCCATGATGGTCTCATAAAACCCATTCTCTCTAAATATAATGGATCATCCAGTAACATTGGTGGATAAAGATAAGGTGGTGGATAAACAGGAACGTCCAATGGCAGTGCAGGTATCCTATATAAAGAATTTGTTAATACAGAAATTGTTGGTAATAAAGAGTTCTACCTTTCTTCCGGACGATATGGTTGAAACCCGCTTCTAACATCGGCGTAGCGTTCGTTTGCATTAGGAAGCCTATTTTCTGAAGGCGCCCGCAAATTAGTTGGGGTATTTGTACTGAATATAGGCAGTTCAGAGCTGATTTTCGATGGTTTTTCCGATGTATTTTGACTGACTATAACAAAAAATAACCATTAACGTAAATAAATAGGTAGAGAATTATAATGGCATGTACCTGATGATTCTCTACGATGAGTCTCTCCAGTAGTTTGCGACTGAGAGGTTGAGGGATGTTCATTAGTACCGGGAACAGATTGTTGTGCCAAATTTCGTAAGGCTGCCGCAAAGGAATGAGAACCCTGAGATTGAGCTCCAGGACCCGGCCCCGGAACAGCGTGACCAGTTGTTGACCGTTGCTTTGAACTACCATTTGTTGATGCTATAGGTTTTGGAGTTGCCGTAACTATAAGAAAATATCAATTTTAGAATTGAGGCGCGTCTGTTCAAAAGTGGCTATTTCCATATTGTATGTTTCATACGTTGTTTAGTGAAATATACTGGTGATATAGGATGCTACAGACCTAGACTGTGCTTAGTCTTGATAAAAACTGATCATATCTCCTTCAAATTCTGCACATTTTGATTCTGTTCAAAAAGTGTTATTATTTCCTGATCAACATTTAATTAATTTCTGTTCATATTTCATATTAGTGTCGATTAGGAAAATAAGTTCTATACAAAAAAGACTATTTCCTTGATTTCTATGCGGCATTCGTTACGTATTTTGCATTCAAGTTGACAACAAAACAGCTTTTATTATACGTACTCTGTGGTAAGTGTCAAAATACTATTATCTGTGGTGTCAAGTTTCTCCCGCGCGAATATTTCGTCGATTAATTTATCGATTTTAACAAATTCATTCAAAAATTCTATAAAACCCGACTAAAACATGGATGTACGTGCCATAAATAGTGGTGTAAGACAGAAAATACGAAAAGATCGCTCCACCTATCGTAAAAAGTAAGTGTCTTTGGCACTCTTATTTTTTTTTTGTACGAATATTGTGTTTTCTGTCGGTTTCCTCATATGATTTCATTTTATTTGTCAGAAAATATACAAACAATGGCCCTCTTTGTATGAACTTCAAAGCTACATGCAAGCATAGATGTAAAAACACGAAGTCAAAATTCAAGTGTAGTTCAATAACCATAGAGGATGTAATCAAGAAAAGGAAACACGAAAGTCGAGCAAGACATCTTTTTAGTAAGGCTTTTGGGCTCTTCAGAACCTAAAAGGAAATGGAGATCTAGTCCCAGGTCCTGTATGAAAAACCGTACTATTAGTGGTACCTACTATGTAATAAAGTTTCAAGGCATGAAGATGCAAAAAGTTTGTAGGTCCTGTTTCATTGAAGTTTTCAATGTTTCAAGAAAAAGGCTACAAAATTTGAATAAAGTTTTGATACAAGGTGGAATATCTAAAGAAAACCGCGGCGGTGATAAGAAGTCAAATAAAATGAAGGATAAAAAGGACAGTCTGAAAGTTTTTGAATAATAACTAGCTGGTAGCTAGTTCCGAAAAACTAAGTCAATATTATTGTGATTCGGTCACAGCTGATCTCAGAGTTTCAAGTATGTTTTATAAATTTTTTTACATTAATACAACATCAGATGTCTGTGGTACTTGCATTATTTGAAAAAATAAAATAAAACTTGAAAAAATCCTGCAAAAAAAGCAGCAATTAATGGAGAAAAGGATTCACTCTATGAGGGCCAATGCATTTTATGTTATGATTCGTCAGGATGTGCTTGGCAGTATAAGTTTGTGTTTTGATATGGACCAAAAACTCCTATAGTTCGTTTTTTTTCTATAATACTTGTCAATGTAAATTTTTTAGGGTTTCTGTTGGTATTATCTAGGACCCTTATAAAATTTATGTTGTTTTCCTGATTTTTTGTAACATTTTCAGTAACTAAATAATTGAGGTTAAAATACTAATACATTTTTAGATAAATACAATTTTAACGAAGTACATATTTATTGTAAAATCGTGCTACAAAGTAATTAAATAGAACAAAACACCTTTTCTAGGTAAATAAATGGCAAATAAACACCCCACAACATTTTTTATGCACCTTTTCTTTTTGAATAAGGTAAACTCAAACGTCAATGTGACATATCTATTTCAAAACATGATAAAACAAAACTTTGCACAACTTCCTGTTAATTTTGCCAACTTTACAACAATTTGAGAAGTATTATAGAAAAAAATGAACTATACAGGGTGAGTCAAAAGACCGCTGACCAACTTCTAGGGCAGATAATACATCAAAAATTAAGATGAAAGGTATATATACATGGGGTCGCTAATGCCTCCTTAATGAGATATAGCGGGTCAAAGTTTCTTTAAAATTAAACATAATCTGCAATAAAAAGCCTTTTTTTAAAAATATTGTCTACGCCATTGCTAATTTTGTTAAACGGCCAGTATTTTCGTGTAAAGTGATCAATTATCTATCAATTCTATCAAGTTTTTAAGAAAAACACGTTTGTAGAAAATTTGTTAATCTAATCAAAAACTGTTGCTTTAATCAAAGTTTTGTAAGAGACCAACTGATAGATAATTGATCACTTTACACGAAAATACTGCCCGTTTGACAACATTAGCAGTGGCGTTGAAAATATTTTTAAAAAAGGGCTTTTTATTGCACATAATGTTTAATTTTAAAGAAACTTTGACCCGCTATATCTCGTTAAGGAGGCATTTGCGACCCCATGTATATTAAGACTACTCATCTTAATTTGAACTGTATTATCTACTCTAAAAGTCTGTCAGCGGTTTTTTGAATCACCCTGTATATACGATGCATACTATTCCGAGACAAATAAGTTTATAAAAACATATCTGTTGTAACATTGGACTAACAAAATCCTACATTCTTTACATGGTTAGAAACACAATCTGGGAGAGGGTCAGTTGAAGTAGGATCTGCATTATTCACCTATTTAAAAGACTTGGAAATATCTACAAATATAAAAAACTATACGATTGTTCTGTGATGGTTGTGGGGGGCAGAACAAAAATAGTCATATTGTTCATATCCTAATACATTGACTTCTAAACAAATCACCCTCCAACGTAAAAGAAATAACATTAACATTTCCAGTTAGAGGCCACAGCTTTCTTCCGGCGGACCGGGTTTTTGGCAGATTAGAGAAAGATATCAAAAAACAAACGATAATGACAGTTCCTGAACCATATTATGAAATTTATAGAAAACATGGGGCATTGAAAGTTTTGGAAGAAAACTGGACTTTGTATGATATCAAAGGACCTTGAACAATATTATAAGAAAGTAGTAGATATCCGTCCAGTAAAAAGAATTATTATAAAAAATCTCGACGATCTGGTTGCAATATTTACACCCACGACACATATCGTTTTGAAACAAATGAAGAGTCAATTAATCTTCTAAAGCGAGGTAAGCGCCATTGTAAAACTGTTGCACAATTACCCATGAGACGTCAAGATATAAACAGGAACAAAAAGGAAGATGTAGCTAATTTACTCACCAAACTGCTGGACTAACTTCACGGAGTTAGTATTTTTTAAGAATATTATTTTTGATCAAGAAACTACAATGACCAATGATGACGTTGAAGATCATCAGCATGATGAATCTTGTGATTGTTTGGAGCATGATGTTGGTGTAATCAGAATATAAATAAATATTCATATATCTGCTTTTTTATTTACCCTTAACCTATCCTTTTTACTTTATGCATTCATAATCCAAAAGTGTTATACAGAGTGAGTTATTAGCATCCCGGCGGACGATAGTTGCTAAACCGTTTAAGAAAAAAAAAATTGTATACAAAAGTTGTTTGACTCACCACTTTCTATTGTTTAAAATTATTTTCACTTATACAGGCTGTACCATTTAGGCGTAACGGAGAGAATGTAGATTGTTTTAAATGAAACACCCTGTATATTTTATCATATTATGAATAGAATTTCATTTGTTTATACAACCGTATATGTTACTAACTCATAGCGTTCATAGTTCCTGAGATATTCAATTGTTTTTCCAAAATGTGTCCATTACAGGATCTTTTTAAAAACGATGTAAAAACAATATTTTTTTCCAATTTTTCCTTGAAACTATGTCAGATAATAGTCAAAGCCAGTAGGTAAATGATAGTATCCGAAGATATTAGATACGCTATACAGCGTGTTCATAAAGGTTAGCTTTTTAAATGGATTTTGTGTGCTGGTTGAATTGCATAATAATAAATATTTAGAATTTAAAGAATAATGTGTAATAAAATATGCCTTATTGTACTTAAAATTATATTCTGTCTATTTTTTGTTCTTCCTTTTATTATTTGATTAATATTTTATAATGTAAAATAATTTTGCTGCCATATACCAGATTTTAATGCGGCTTGGTTCTTTATGAGATTTAAAAAGATGTAAGTAATAAAATATGCAATTGTTAAGCGATACCTCAAGATCTTTTATACAGCGCATTAATACTAATATAATAAGTTCTAAATATTAATTAAATTAATACCTACTTGTTGAGCAACATTTTGAGTAATTGTTTGCATTTCCTTCAAATAATTTAGTAATGAAAAAAGGGATTTATTGTTCTACCATTTGATTGTATTTTTATCACGTTTTGACTATTTATTCATTAAAGTTTTTTTTTAAATTGTATTTTAATATAATATTACGGATTTACAAATGACAAACAAACAAAAAAGAAAAAACAACAAAAAGTAACAAAAAATGGACAGAATATATTACATTCTATCACTTTTTTAAGTACAATAATGACATTTTATTACACATTTTTCTTTAAATTCTAAATATCAGGAAAACTATTAAAGTTAGACATATGACATACTTATCATTAATTAAAGGGCATTTGATGAGCAATTCAACTAGCACACAATATACAGGGTGTTCCATTTAAAAAACTTAAGAAAAAGCCATTTGAAAAACATCAAAAGCAACTAAGCTTTATAAACATCTGTATAGTGTATCTAATATCTTTGAATACTATCTACCTACTGGCTTTGACTATTGTCTGACGTAGTTTCAAGGCAAAATCGGAAAAAATGTCGTTTTTACATCGTTTTTAAAAAGATCCTGTAATGGGCACATTTTGGAAGAACAATTGAATATCTCAGGAACTATTAACGCTGTGAAATAGTAACATGTATGGTTGTATAAACAAATTTAGTTGTATTCATAATATGATAAAATATACAGGTGTTCCATTTAAATAAATTTTTGTAATTCGCGACGGTAATGAAAGCTCTAACAGTACTCAAACGGGTGGTGTAATGAGACTCCTTACAGCATTCGATGCTGTAATGGGATTTTAGTAACATTTTATGGAACCAGTTCAAGTTGGTGACATTGGGTCATTAATTTTTCTAGTTGTCAATGTGACA